GGTGGCATTTCCTAGTGGTGAACACAGACTGTAAGCTGATGACAATTTAATTTGATAGATTCAAACGCTTCAAGATAAGGACTTTCTATTTTTGCAACACTTCGTACATTACGAAATCGGTCAACAAACTGACTTATAATTACAATTAAATGGTGTTGTTTTCTTGGTATTTTCATCCATCACAGATGATTACAGTATGTTTCTCTATCAGTTGCTCATTCAGTAAATATCTCAAAACCTTGTCAGTCTAATTGATGGTTTAGCGACACAATCATGCATGCAAATAATCAATATAAGCAGTCGAGCAAATCTCCTGCAAACTGAAAACATCAATGTCGAATTTACTCCAACACTGACTAAGGTTCAAGCCATTATCATAGACATGAGTTGGGAGTGTACTCCCCTTGGCTACAACTTGCTTCCTCCCTGGTAATCACATGAGCGTCACTCACTGTTAATTATCTTGTAAAAACTTATTTAGCTGAATACATCTTGCAGCATATCACCTAGTAATGTAGTATATAGACTTAACTGATTTCAGTAACTTATAATCACTATATCTCAATTGAATCGTATTCCGCCTTATGATAAACTGCATACTTGCAACTAACTTGTATGCATCGTCAGCGGTCAGGTATAAATATGTATAAATAGTCTATGGCAACTCAGAACATTGAGTCTAGAGCATGTCTCTTACGAATACACTCATGTTTAACGATTTTTTTCTAGCTATCTGTCCAAAATTCACATAATTATCACTCACGTATTTAAATATTGTTTTGATAACCATTCATGTGTATTAGTAGTATTACTAAATTCTATCACGGTCAAGTAAAAATGAGGTTGAGAAAATCTCCCTGTAACTAAATAAACCGTATCAAACTAACTGGAACACTAGTTGGAATTCTTCTCCACGGTATACTTTTGTTCCTTCAGTTAGCCTACTAATACAGATGCAATTGGAATTCAACTCATATGAACAACTTACCGGCATAATCGTTATTTGATTTCATAATTTAAACCAAAACTAATACCAATATTAACATTTCTACAATATTCATCACTTTAATATTTCTAAACACAAAATACTTACTACCTATACGTTAAGTTATTAACCAACGGCTATTAACACGCATCGTTTGACATCGGATGGACAAAAAAAGAAAAGAAAAAAGACAATAAAAGATATAGTCACTAGTATTCTTAACACTTCACCCTCTATATACACACCCTTCTAATAAACCGCTTCCCTTGTACCAACCTTGACTTCCCTTCCTTCATGTGAGCTTACTCCAATTTGCTAAACATCACTACTCGTTGTTCTTTATTAGTACATTCTCTAATATGGAGCCTCTGACTTCACTTCACTCTAACAAGACATAATATGAATTTATTCTAATTTATTATACCTCTGTCCGTTCTACTACACAATGTTAAGCAACCTTTGGCGTTCATATCCAAGTGCCTTGCTGCTCCTCTGTTTCTTTTTTTTTCTCCTTCAGAATCTTGCTCTGAGAGCACAGCTATGAAACTTCTGACGTTTGGAGCAAACTTAACGTACGCGTCCTCTCAAGGTCATAGTTTACAGCAAGCGCTCTACGATTTCACTTTATAACAACTATAAACTTAATAAGTTGGGAAGCATTTTGCGAACCAACAAATGTTGTAATTTATAGATCATGCCTGTAAAAACGGTGTGTACCTGCACATGCAGAAATATATTATTATTATGATTTTTATTTTTATTATTGTAACCCCATTCTTTATAGCTCAAATAATCTTCACCCAAATTTTCATTTCAAGCGTTTTAAGCATGAAGGCAGATATTTTAAAATTATTACATGTATTTCCCGACCAGATGCTGCCGCCTTCTTTTTCATTTATCTTTCAGCTTATCATTACCCGGGGGATTCTTCCTAGTCTTGGTAACCTTCGGCGCACGACGATCCCATCCAATTCGGTATCGAACTAACATCACGTTGATTCTGGTGGGAGAGCAGTGTAGTGGCATTGAACAATAACCGCACAATCCACAAAGCTGAACACGAGACTACTCAGAAAGTAGATATTCAATATTTAACGCGGATAAATACTTAACAATGAAGAAGGCGCGAACAATGAATTGAATTGACTGGAGTTGATCGAGTGGAATTGCTCGGCCATGCAGGCGTGGTCTCTGCCGAATGTTTCCTTATATCTTCTATTCATATTAAATATATTGTTCTTTCTCTAGCCTAACCTTGTTCTACGTCATGTATTGGTAATTGATACCATACAGTGAGTTGGTGTAGTCGATGGTGTGACTTCCACGTAAGATTTTATAGATTAGGCAGTTATGTCATGACAAACCTACAAATTTAGGATTAGGTCTATTATTAGAGCAGTACTAATATCATAGTAGACCATAGTTCTACATGAGCAGTGCTAATATCTAAGTAGACCATAATTTGACAGACCTATGACCAGTTTTCTACCCTACATACTCCATTTTCATCAACAAGACACCATCAACAACAGCCTACTATCACAGATAGCAAACCAGCTTCCAGCTCAGGAGAAAATTAGTAGACGCTGGTGGTGGGTAGGACATGCGTTGCTGAAATCAACAAACTGCATTACGAAGCAAGACTTAGACTGGAACCCTTTAAACAAAAGGGAAATAGGCATACCGAAGGACACAGAGCTTTGAGAATCGTGGACGGAAATAAAAAGAGCTTATAGTTCTCGGTTATGACCGGAAAGGAGAGCCCAAAAGAGAGTTGGTTGAAGTTTACCATTCCCTGCTTCATACTCCAGGTAGTTTAATAGGGGTAAGTGGTATCATTAAGCTTTATTCAGTAGTCTTACATTACTATATTTGGGCGGGTATGGTGTGATCGCTAGTTTTGCATAACCTTACCTCAAAGTCCTATTGTAGCTGTCTAAGTTATGTGGTTAAGAACTGGCCCAAATCCTATTAGGCCTAACGTTAAAGCTCGAATACTTATATACCCCCCTACTTTTTTAATCGTTATGATTCCCATCATGTATGTTAAGTTAAGAGAGGTTTGTGTTTATATTAAAACCACGCGCTTCACTGGTTACGCACATCAGGTAAAGCCTACAAAAATTACTTTGGGAGCTTTTGAATTCCTATGCTGTAAACACAGACCTAGCACCGCCAACTGATGATTTTCTGGACTGGCCTACTCTAACTCAGTGGGCGGACCATTCATATATGTATGGGTCCCTTAAAAGCGTGCAGAATTTTCCTATAGAGATAATAAATTTACGATAGTGAAATACATATAGCTACTGCATTATGAGCTAAGACGAGCTGTCTGTTCATCAATCTGCATGGAGTTCACTAACCTTCAGCATTTCCACCGATTATCAAACATCTTGACCAGTCAATAGTAAAATCGTGCACTCAGGCTGGTAGATCATTTAGCCCGGGATTCGATTTCTCTTACAGAAAGCCAAAAATAGTGAGAATAGCATTGAAACACGATTTTCGGAATTCAGCAATATCACAATTCATGGAACACTTGAAAAATTAAATAGTTCTGTGAAGCTTAAATAACAAGTAAGGGATAAAATATCACAAATAAGGTCAGGGGAAAAGATGTTATCTAGAAAACTCATGAAGTCAAGACCGCTATAACAAATTAAGATTGATAATCATCTTTTCGGATGCACAAATATGGTTTTATTCTTTTTTTGGCAAACGCTTCAGCGAAATACAACACGCTCGAAGTTATTATTATTAACGATATCACACAAATGATAATCAGGCACGCCACAATAAAATTACCGACCTTTGAGTCTTCTTACATGTGACATGAACTCTGAGATATGGGAACTAACCCCTACCATATTCTTCATGTGAACGTATTTTTGCGCATACACGTTAACTGATAAGGTTGAGGTATAACAAATAATATGGTGAAATAAATGATAGTAGTGTGGTTTCAATGTAAGCGCGTGAGATGAATTTGTTAGAAAATTGGATAATAGGACTGCCATATGAAGCACTAATAACATGTGCTTGTTTGCGTGTTCAGTAGGTTCCAAAAATTTATCACACAGTTACAAAATGAAATCGAGAGATATGAGATTGCTGCAATTGTATAGTACTTAGTTACAATTGAATCAGCATCTAAAATTTAAGCATAAGCATATTAGAAACCTAGTTATATCACAAGGACTGGTGAAAGAGAGCAAAATCATATGGGAAGGAAGTGAAAAAATTCAGCTGCGTTCAACAAATCATTAATCGGAGTGTATAAAGAAATGTCGCATGAAGAGATAAACGTTCTATATTAGGCATTCACAACTGTACAACTTAAGTGAAGTTATGGGACGCATAAATGATGATAAGTATTTTTATAAAAATTCGTTTAACCTTACTATATTTACGAGATAAAACGAAGCACGACTTTGTCTTCACTTGATTAGGATTCAGGTAGTGAATCCTTGTTTCAGATGTGAAGCTGATATACTAGAATGACTTCAATGGCCGGGGATCGAAATGGTAAAAGTTCTCAGTGCACTACTTTATGGCGATAGATTAAAGTACCTTAGCATATTTAAATTAACTTGCCTCAGGTTGCCTGGTGACTTAATACTGGCTTGCTGCGTACTGTACGATGATTTTGGTATTGATATATTTCGTTTTTTCCTTCTATTTAAGATTAAGTGTCGGTTCAAAAACGGCGATTATATAGTTTACGTCAGGAGATTCATTCTTCGTATATCAGAACGCTCAATATCAGCACATGACGATGTATTTAAAGCGAGATTCGATCTTCATAGTACTACAATTTGTGATGACCACTTGACGTCCTAATCTTATTATTGGAGTATATATATATCTTTTTAATATGGCTTTCCATATAAGTTGATTGAATAGATTCATAATCCTTGAAACACGAAGTACTGTAGTTTCCTTGTTGAAGTTTTTTAAACAAACTAGTTTTGTGACCTTGTTCACTTCCAAATAAGCGTTTATTTCGTATGTGATGGATGATTTGTATCCAAAGCTCTCTACTTATGAGTTTGACTATACAACTGATATCAACAAGAAAATGCGTGTCCCAGAAAAACTTTCATACGATTCCGATAATTCAGCAACACTCAGTGAAGGTCATGATGTTTCTTTTCGCAACTATCCAGTTGCAGATTTAAGTGCGAAACTTAATTATACTTACTTTACAGTTTTAGATGCCAAACGCTCAACAGAGTACGCCCTAGGATATAGTCCTGATTTACTGAAGAACAGTGACATTCGCTCGAAATTAGTTTGCAAGTAAGTTTCATAAAGCTATGCATCTGCATCGTGATTCTACTTATTACCAATCAGGTTCATTCGTAATGCAAAATCTAGTATATTCACTAAGCCAATACAAAATAATTCCACTTAGACTGTCTATCTGAGGCTTCACTTCTGACATGTTTATTCTTCACTCGTCGTAGCTCTGGCTAACACTGCTTATTTTTCAGAGTACTGTATTACCCGTGAAAATCCTAGTAAGATGACAGAGTCTAAATAAATTAGTTATCCACAAAAAATCTGATCTTTCGTTTGACCAATGCAATTTCGTCCCACGTGGTCATTTTGTTAAAATAGACGTCTGAAGTCAAGTGAACTGGATACAAATTTTATTGTTTATCGTCCAGACACAACGACTATTGAGCGTAGTAGGTATTCTGTTAACCTAGCAGATGAACCTTCAAGTCATTGCTGAGATTGTGTAAACAACAAAACCGGTCACTTTGTGTTTTCAAGTATACGCTTATCTTCCAATGTTTAGTCAAATTCAACTTTTAATTAAAGCTTACCCCGTATACGGTTTTTCAGGTGTACGGTGGTATTCATTATTATTTATTTATTTTATTTTATTTATTTATTTGAACACATAAATATTGGTACAAGAGAGCGCCAATATATATGCGCCACACAAAACAATGGGAATTCGAAGTGAAGTAGAAAGAAAAGAAAAACTAAGGAACGCAAAAGAAAAAGAGAGTAATGACGAAGAGGTACAATCAGAAGAAATCTTTCAGGTAAAGGAGACACAACCACTTTTTATGAAGAAAGTAAAAGAAGGTTACAGCAGGATCGCCACTGGCTTCTATTCTGAGCCATATCTGATAACGTCTCTAGCCACTGTGTGGCACCATCTCTCGGACCCCAGCCAGGGAGTCGTGAAGGACCAACACAAGCCAGTCCTTTGCAGCTTTCTTTCATGCCACGACACCATGTCATGCACTGACCACCTCTCCGCTTCTTCCAACCAGTCCCAGAGTCGGCAAATAACGCACGACGTGGAATTCTCTGGGACGACATTCGGAGAACATGTCCAAGCCACCGAAGTCGGTGTTTCAAGATCCTGACACCAATTGAGTTATCATCTCTGTGCCCGAACACACGATGCCGAACCTCTGCATTACTGACATGGTGTTGCCACTGGATGTCAGCAATCCTTCGGAGACAGCGATGATCGAACACAGAGAGTCGTCTAACGTCCTCAACTCGGAGAGGCCAGGTTTCACAAGCATAGAGCAAAACTGCTCTCACCGACGCGTTGTAGATCCGACCTTTTACGGCCAGACTAACATCACGAAGGCGCCATAGATGGTCCAGATTGGCATAAGCCGCTCTGGCTTTCACTATACGTGCATTGATCTCATCACTCACACCCCCACCAGCACTTATGCAGCTACCCAGATACACGAACTTCTCAACTACGTCTATCTGCTCACCGTCCAGGGTGAGTACATGATTAGAATCCTGCCAGTCTTGTAGAAGTACTTTGCACTTCGAAGGTGCAAAGCACATACCATACCTACGGACATTGATTGCCAACTGATTAAGTGCGGATTGCATGCCTTGCGCATTATCGCACAGTAAGACAATATCGTCCGCATACTCAAGGTCGAGAAGTCTTTCTCCAGGCAACAGATCCACACCACCATTACTTACATTCATCAGAGCTGTTTCCAGAATGTCATCGATGGCAAAGTTGAAGAGGAATGGTGAGATTGGGCAACCCTGCCTAACCCCACTGCTCGAATGGAACAATGGAGAGAGGTGGTTGTATGCCCTCACTCTGCCTGAGGTGTTTTTATACAGGGCTTTTAGGTTGTTAATAAACTTCTCAGGCACACCCTTCTTCAATAGACAATCCCAGAGAACAGTCCTATCCAACGAATCGAAGGCAGCCCTGATGTCAAGAAACACTACGATTGTTGGCCTTTGAAAAGTATGGCGGTGTTCTAACATTTGGCGGAGGGTGAAGATATGATCAATACATCCTCGACCAGAACGAAACCCAGCCTGCTCCTCGAGAGTCAATCTTTCTCGGGTTTTGAACAACCTACGAAGAATGACGGAAGCCAATAGCTTGGACGCAATCGGAAGTAAACTTATCCCCCGATAGTTGTTACAAGAACGACGTGAACCCTTTTTAAAGATAGGGACAACTATCGACTCATTCCATGACGTTGGTACACTCTCTAGTTCCCAAACCTTTGTAAACAACGTCGTCAATTCCTTAGTCAAAAAGTCACCACCATCTTTAAAAAGAGCCGGAGGTAAGTCATCTGGGCCAGGTGATTTGTAACGCTTCAAGAGTTGGAGTTCCTTGCGGACTTCCTCCTCATTTGGTGGATCAGTCGTCACCGGCCATGGAGGGCAGGACAGTCTGACCGATGTTGCCGGAGCAGCAGGCCAGTTGAACTGCCCTTCGAAAAATTCTGCCCATCGTCCAAGACGTCGATGGATGTTAGTGATTGGCATCCCATCATCCTCGCAGATTGTTTCACTCACACTAGACTTCTTGCTGCCAGTGGCTCGGATGAGTTGGAAGAGCTTCCGGTAGTTACCAGATGCAGCTGCTACTTCCAGCTCATTAGCACGCACCGACCACCAGGCTTCTCGGTCCTTACGCAAGCTTTGCCCGATTTCCTTACATAGCATCCTTCGTTTATGGTCAAACCCACGGTCACCTGGAGTAGACCGACGGGCTTCAATGAGTTGTAAGGAACCTGCAGAAACCCAGTGCTTAAAAGCGGGACGTTTCGCAAACCCACAACTGACTGTTCCCGCCATTTTCATGGCGTCATGCAATTGCAACCAATGCTCATCTATACTTTTCGGTGGAGTGGTAGCTAGCCTAGAGGCTAGCTCAGTTCGATACTTACTTGCAACAGAAGTTGCAACCAGCTTGCTAACATCAATCCGTTGATGGCGTTCACTTCGTTGTCCACTGAAAAGTAAGGCAAGATTGGCGCAGACCAAGGCATGGTCAGAGTCCAGATAGGTACTCCAAAAGGAGCGGCAGTCTTGTACACAACCACGCCAGCGGTAGCTGATCGCGATGTGATCAATCTGAGTCCAGGCTTGAGATGCAGAGGGAGGACGCCATGTGGCACATCGGCGATGACTGTGCCGAAAGTTAGTGCTAGCCAGAAACAGGTTGTGGTCTGTGCAAAGTTGCAGTAGACGGTCCCCGTTATCTGACCTGCGACCAACGAGTCCCCATCGGCCACCTAAACGACTCTCTTCTGTGCCTAGACGCCCGACCTGAGCATTCAAGTTTCCGGCTAGTACTACAATATCTGTCGAACGCACTTTCTGGAGAAGAACTGATAACTGGTGGTAAAACTCATCCTTGATTGCATCCGGGCTGCAATCTGCCCCCTGAATGCCCTGGTACGGCCGAGAGTGGGGAGAGTCCGCTCTCCCTCTCGAAATACTCTCACACGGCCACGCGTATACAGCCTCTGCCAGGGAAGTCCTACTCATTGCCTTCTCGTGGCGGGGGTGTTGTTTACGAAAATGAGAGGACGAAAAGCGAATGTCCGGCGCTTTAACCGGATCCCAAATCAATGGTGCACATGGGCTCCAGTATCCTGCGGGAACGAATGGCGTATGAACCAATCGTTGGTCACCGGCTACAATGGGACTGCATCTCCTTACGATGCTCCACTGCCTTGTGGGTTAGACCTTTAGGTCAAAGGCTCGGGGAGTGGCCCCCTAAGATAACCACCTGCTTCGGTTTGGGCACCCGGGCAGTATCACAGCCCACACACAAATGATGAACTCTTTATGTCTATGGTGGTATTCAAGCGTCAAAAAGCTACAAGAACTTGTGCAATTTATCGGTAGCCTTCATCTCTAACGGTGTTCTGCAATTAGCTTATGAAGTTTTAAATTTCTCAAGAATGCAAGATAGTACCCATCTCTAATGTCCACGTACACCCCGTAAAATAATTGGGCTTTCAAGATTTTTTTCGTCCATTATGTCTTAGTACCAATACTCGTTTATTTTCGGGCTATCGAGTCAGTAGCTCCATTGTTGAACCCAGAGTATTAGGTAGGTATTGTAAATCGATAAACAAGGTCAATCTTTATCGATTTGGATGTTTGCAAAATGTGTTACTTAACCCCATCCACCGAATATTTTGATAGGCGATGATGACTGGTGTAGAGCTATTCTGGAAGAAAACTAGAGGTAGCCGAACCAAGACAGCATCAGTTCATTACGACACCAGTTGTTGAACTGAACCATATAGTTAAGTGTCAGTCGCAACGTAGAACCTAGTACATATGTATGTAAATCGGTTCAAGTCGCTGTACTATATATATAGCACAGAGACATAAAACTGTTGCTCTAATCCTCAGAATATTAAAAGTACCAATATCAGTAGTAATAGAAAAGAATAGACATCAAAGATACGATTCAAGAAAATACAAGAAATTTAGAAGTCTAGAATTCGAGGGAAGGCAAAAAAAATTAATGCACTTGAGGCATTTCAGACAATCTTGATTCACCTATTTACATGGCTCAGTCCACTTGTTGATAACTTCATGAAGTGGTCCCATGTCTTGGTTTGGCTGCCCCTAGATTTCTTTCAGCCTACTCGTATATCGAAAAACATGCCCTTCGAGGTAGACGGTGGTTGAGCACATGTAACACATCTCCTAACCACCTCAGTTGATGAGGATTTACTACCTCATCAGTCAATTTCCCATCCTAAGCTAGCACTGTATTCCTAATCCAGGCATTGCTTACTCAGCGGTCCCAAAATATACGAGCAATGCTCGATGACACCTGCGATCATAAATAAATGTAGACTGTCTAGTTTAGGTCCACATAAATATCGTAAACAATGGTTAGAAACTTTGTTTTACATGACTCAACATTTTTAATAATAACATGGGTGCGCACATTCTTTGACTTCCATTAGATCCCAGGTTTCTGAATTCCTTATAATTTTTTTATTTGCTTTATACTTGCGTCAACACCTGAACTAAGGATAGGGAGTAAAGTAGTCGAACGCGTTGGCAACTTCACTTATCTTGGAAGTCTGATCAGCCCTAATGGGTTGGTGTCTGACGAAATCTCAGCACGGACTCGAAAAGCTCGTTTGGCTTTTGCCAAATTACGTCACCTTTGGCGGAGGCGAGATATCCGTCTATCAATAAAAAGACGAGTATACTGCGCGGCAGTCCGTTCTGTTTTAATTTACGGCAGCGAAACATGGCCCTTAAGAGTAGAAGACACCCGTAAGCTACTAGTATTTGACCACAGATGCCTTAGAAATATTGCTGGCGTCTGCTGGGATCACCGGGTAAGTAATAGTGAGGTTAGACGCAGGGTATTAGGAAATGATGGTAAATCAGTTGATGAGGTTGTGAATCTTCGTCGACTGAGTAGTTGGGCCACGTGTTGCGTATGCCTGAACACCGATTACCACGACGTGCAATGCTATCCGATATTGGAGATGGTTGGAAGAAAGTTAGGGGCGGCCAAACCAAAACGTGGCATCAGTGCTTGAAGTCACTAACTTCTGGTTTGAGTCGTGTTGGTGGTAGATGTAGACTACTTGGTTGGGGTCCGCGTGACTTTTGTAACCAATGGTTGGAGACTCTGGGTGACATGGCTCAGAATCGGTCACAATGGCGTCGGTGTATACACTCTCTGTCTTCTCTTAAACTAAGAGATTAAAATTGCTTCATATCTTTCTTTCTACGAACTAATTATTTCTTCCTGTACTATATCCTTATTGCAATCTTTCTTTTATATATTACCGCCTCTGAATTAACCATTTATATGAATCGGGTGTCCATCTTGTTGTGTTAATGAGATATGGCAACTTGGACCGATGCATATATGTGCCTGGTCCTACGTTGTAGCTGACTGACTGACTGAATCGTATCTTCGATGCCTAATCTTTATTACCATCAATATTTTTAGTACCTCTATCACTCTGGGATTTGTTTCGAGAATTTCATATTGTTGTATTATTGGAGTGTGGTAACTTAAACTGATGTACACATGTTCCAAATCTTACATTGCATATGATTGACTGGCCAGTGTGTGTATAATTTTACAGCAATGTTTTATCAATTATATTTTCTGCGCATGCTCTCAACCTTTTATCATTTTCGAACTGAACTTTGGTGTAGAACTAATACATAAATGTTAGAATAGCATCACATGTTTATCTTAGTTACATACTCACATAATTATAGCTCATAGTTGCGTTATCGTAGTTACGTTATTTTTAGATGAATATAAATATTTCATGTACTGATCCTATGGAATAATCCTTAAATATATCATATTTTGTTTAATCCCGTTCTAGTGCCCAAGCTCAAGCTTCTTCTCAGTCGTCAGATGGTTCAGCTAAGGCTAATGCTTCTGCTGGAGTATTCTGTGAAACTTCTAGTCATCGAGCACAAGAACGCCTTCGTGTATCAAGATCTTCCTCCACTGGTAATAACGAACACGTATCTGTTGATCATCGTCTTATAAGACTTGAAAAACGGATATCCCATTTGGAATTTCAACAAGCTCTCATGAAAGGGGGATTAACAGTGTATATATTATATCGCATCATAAGATGGATTATAAAAAATTCGTGATAAACTTGTTATAATGATCATCATCCCAATGTATTTTCAAACAATCATATTTTCTTAATAAGTCTAATGTAAAGTTGATGATTACCTTCCTATCCGTTTTTAATTCAAACTGTCTAGATCACATACAGTGCCGTCGCATCTGCCAGCACAGTAGTGAATCATTGTAGGATTCTCTTTCAGTTATCTTCTTGATTTTAAAGAGAAAAATCCACTATCTTCCACAAATATTCTATACATACATCATCAGAGTGCATTTAATGTGTATCACTCATTTTAAAATATATAAGTATTATTCCTGTTTTTAAAACTTTTGATATGTAGTTTAATTTCTGTTGTTTTTTTGATCATTCATTTTCGACAGACAGTATTGTTTCGTTCGGTATTCTTCATCATATAAACTTCATGCCAAGCTCATGTATTAATCAAAGGTTTTAAACTATTGATAGACACTAAAATAGATACTTCACTTAATAATAGTATTAAAGAACCATATATATTGCCAGCTAATCGATCCTGTTTTTGATCTGTCGATAGACTTGTTATAAATTAATTGTCATACAACTCAGCTCAATGACTAATTACAAATGTATGCACTAGTTTTTAGGTCAAACCTCTTTGTTTGATAGCTAGTGATACTGCTCGACTGCTCAATCAGGGGCAGATGAAGTAAGGTTTTGAATCATTGATGACTGTATGGTTGAGAATTCTATATCTTTCAACACTAAATCACAGCTAACTTATCAGTCATACCATTGAGTTTTAGACTTTAAGTGACATCAGCATTTTCCTCATTATGAGCTACTCTCGAATTCTGATTTAAGTATCCGTATATGTATTTGTATTTCTTTTTTGCCTATGAATACTTTTTTAGTTTTTCCAAAATAAAGGAAAATATATGTACTTGTGCATAGTCTGAACTATTAAATGTTTCCGTAGATCTGGTTTCAGCCAGTCTAAAAATGCCTTGCATTTGTTCATATTCTGGCTGTAATATTTATATTATCTATCTCACTCTCTTTCATCCTGATGACTACTTCATTGTAATATCAGTAAATTGCTTCCCAATCATAGTTACCATCTTCAACGGTTATACTGGTATAGTATCACAATAATAGATTTAATTAGTATATCCTATTGCTGTATACAATCCCATCATTTGTAATGAGATCTCTTAATACTATAAACTTGGTTCTCTATATTTGGTTTCAAAACACTAGTTTTAAATAGATATATATTTTTTGCTCTTCACTAAAATCTTTAAATTATTTGAATCATCTGTAGAGACTAATTTGTGGATAATCTTTGAATGACGCTAATGTGACCTTAAGAGTGTCCACATGATAACTGAGGGTTATAAATGAGTGTAAGGAATTCGAATTATGATTTACACTTGATGGTTAGGAGTTAGGAATTAGATTTAAGGTTTTTCTCATCACGAACTGACATCAGTTATAATGTCGAAACTCTATTTAACCAAATAGATGAGTGAATTTCACACCAAAATTTGAAACTTGTTATCTTAGAATACCTGATTGATTCGTTCATAAATGATAGTCTCATTGAAATCATCTTCATTCATAAACGTTTTAGATTACTAAAAGAAAACATAATCTACAATGCATACAAATGGAAAATTTCAATCATTTTAATGTTTTCCACATCATTTAACGGAACATAATTTTCTTTAATCAACAACTACAGTAATCCCTATGACTTGAATAAAAGCTTAGTAATTATCAGTCAATGAATAAAATAATTAATGTAACGTGATCTAATGATAACTTATCATAAGACTAAACTTATTGATTAGTGTATTTCTATTATGTATCTATACTTATCATGAAGAAATGAAACGGTTAATCTGATTGATTATCGATTAAAGAGTGTTAACTATAATAATAATAATAATAATAATAATAATAATAATAATAATAATAATAATAATAATAGGTAATTTTCCCCCGAAAATAAATTAATTCCAGAATTAAAATGAAGCAAAAAGGCCATTGCATAGTTTGATAGGAAATCACGTACTCATTATCATTAGTGGAATGTTATTACTTTATTATTATCATTATCATTACTGTTATTATAACCATTATTATTATTATTATTATTATTATTATTATTATTATTAATACTATTATCATTATTACTACTATTGTTATTGCCACTGTTATTATTGTCATCATTATTATTACTATCATTATTACTATTGCCCCCAAATGTCCTGGTATGGCCGAGAGTGGGGTGGGCCCGCCCTCCCTCTCGAAATGCTCTCACACGGCCACGCGTATACAGGCTCTGCCAGGGACGTCCTACTCACTGCCTCGTACAACGAGTGTTGTTTACGAAATTGAGAGGACGAAAAGCGAACGTCCGGCGCTTTAACCAAATTCCAAACCAATGGTGCACATGGGCTCCAGTATCTTGCGGGAACAAATGGCGTATGAACCAATTGTTGGTCACCGGCTATCATGGGACTGCATCTCGTCACGATGCTCCATTGCCTTGTGGGTCAGACCTTTAGGTCCAAGGCTCAGGGTGTGGCTCTCTAAGACAACCACCTGCTTCGGTCTGAGCACCCGAGCAGTATCACAGCTCTCACACACATCGAATGATTTATGTGGCGCATATGTATTTGATGCCTCCTTGTACCAATGTTTATGTGTTTAAACAAAATAATAAATAATTATTACTATTAGTATCATTATCACTATTATTATTATTACTATTGTTATTATTATTATTATTATTATCATATTTATTGCCGTTATTGTTATCATTACGATTATTATTGATACTATTATCATAGCTGTTATTATTATTACTATTATAACTATCCCTATCACTACTGTTACTGTGATTTTTATTACTATCACTATCATTACTACCACTATTATTATTACCATTCTTATTACCATCATTATTGTTACTATTGATTTTCCCATTATTAATATTATTATTATTATTATTATTATTATTATTATTATTATTATTATTATTATTATTATTATTATTATTATTAAATAAAACAGCACATGTTAGTGGTGTTTTTCTTCATCTCTCAAATTGGTCATCTTTAATATGTTTTCTATGTTGTTTTTTTATTGATTATAGAAGACCAGATATCATATATGTCACACACTTAAATAAAATAAGTTAGTTACCTTGAATTTACATTTATACTATTACAAATTTGTATAAATGTTACTTATTTTTCTTACTTTAATAGATGTGATTATGTAATTCATTCATTATCAGAAGGAGTTTGTAGAGATGTTAGAAATTTCACAGATTGAAATCATGGGTCAATTGAAGCTAGACCACCATGGAAAACCTAGATCGTGGATGCGCACTTCTGAGGGGTCCCATACTAGGATGAAACGGCCGTCCAGTGCTTCCAGGTTTTCCATGGTGGTCTAGCATAAATTCACTCACGATTTCAATTCATTCATTCATTCAATTTAACTATTCATCTAACAGTTTTATTTTAATATGCCTAATACGAATTGTATTTTAACTTGTATTTTAGTATGATGGTCACCTCTAATGAAGATGATACTAAACGAGAGAAATTAGTTGAACGAGTTCGTACATCAGTTATAGTATTTTGGATTTTATCTATTATATTTTTAATAATAGGTATAACAGTACTGTCTATGTATCATAATTTAAATGAGTAAGTTTGTATTTTCTATACTTCTATTGTTATTATGATTGTGATTATTATCATTATCATACTATACAATGTGTATTCCTTTAGTATATAGATCATTTAGATGTTTGAATATGAGTAAATCTGATAGAATATATGGATTATGACTAATATTGAAATCCAGGATTCACGTTTTATATTTGGGACTCATCAGCTAGCTATAGATCTGTATTGAAATGTTAATGTTCACTTGTAATAAGATGGCTAGATTGAAGCTATCCCCATAAAATGGACATAGACCACGAATGAGAGCGTATACAACCACTGTCAGGGAAGTTCTAATCACTGCCTTCTCGCAATATGAGTGTTATTTACTAAATTGAGAAGACAAAAAGCGAATGTCCGGCAGAGGCTTTAACCAGGTCGTTGGACACGGAGAGTCCACCTATAAGAGTTGGAAAACCCTGATTCCAAGCCAATGGTGTACATAGGCTCCGGGATTCTGAAGGAACAAATGGCATATAAACCAGTTATTGGTCACCGGCTACCATGGGACTGCATCTCCACTGTCTTGTGGATCAGGCCTTTACGTCGAAGGCTCCGGTTATGGTCTCCTAAGAAAACTACCTGCTTCGGTTTGGTTACCCGGGCAGTATCCCAGCCCTCAAACAAATGTAGTGATTTGTGTGGCGCATATCTATTTGGTGCCTCCTTGTACCAATGTTTATGTGTTTAAAAAAAGAAATAAAACAATCTAATTCTTTGACCCAGAGGTATAGTCCACTAAACAGTGAATCAATATTAGGAAATGTGGTCTAGTGGTAGCTGCTAATCAGGGATGAGTTTAAGCACCATTTTTACCCTTTAGGATACTGGAGCCCTTGTGCACTGTTTGTTTGTAATCGGAGTTCTCCAACTCCTCTCTAATTGGATCCTCTGTATCCACCAACCCCGGCTTAAGCTCTATCTAAACATTCTCTTTTCATCTTCTCCATTTCGCTGAAATAACCTCCTCTTCGCGAGATAACAATGAATAGTACTTCTCTGATAGTGGCTGTATACATGTGGCCTATGTAAGAGCACTTTGGGTGGAACAGCGAACTCTCCATTCCATAATCTTCAAAATGTACTCTACTCTATTTCATCGTTTGTAGTAAAACTAATATTGTTAATTCTAACACAGAATTTAACTCAAACTTTTAATACTTAAATCTTATACTCTAAATTATTTTATTTGATGTGTTTAAATAGTGTAGTTTTTCTCTAAAACTTTCTTTGTTTAGAATCTCATAATGTTTTTATGGGTGGGTTCAAGGGATGTTTTTCTTTTTTGTTTGTTTTTTATTATTGTCAGTATTAGAAATTAGTAAAATCTAATTACAATCTCTAACTGATCTACATTAACTTTGTAATACACCATTGTGTTTGCTTGTTTGTTTTTAATTAATCAGTCTGCAAAATAAAACAAACAGAAGAGACATTTGAAATTCTACTCAGCTAATTAATTAATGGTTAAGTGCTCACGCGCGAAGTCGGTAGGTCCTGGGTTCGAATCCTGCGGGGTGCGGAATCGTGGATGCGCACTGCTGAGGAGTCCCATACCAGGGTGAAACGGCCGTCCAGTGCTTCCAGATTTCAATGGTGGTCTAGCTTCAACTGACTCATGATTTCAGTTGGTGAAAATTATTTCAATAGTTGAGATGATGAGTCAATTAAAGTTAGACCATTATTGAAAAAGCTGAAAGCATTGGACGGTTGTTTGATTCTATTGTGAGAGACTCTTCAACAGTATGCATCCATGATGATGGTTATATTATGCATGATGATATGATTGTTTACAGGATTTTGTTTTCTATACGTGTGTGTATTTGTGCAAAATTAGTATTGATTTTGAGAATGAATAAGTTGATCCATGTTAATCTATTTTATCCAATTGTATTTGTCTCTATCAATTGAACAGAGAATAAGTCGTTGACTATTTATAATGTAGATAACAGTGGAATACGAGACACGTATTTTATCCTGTTTTGGACTTGTCATCTAGATGTACCTGTATCCTAGAGTTAATGTTCACTTTAGGACTCTAATCTGACACCGTTCACTTCAAACGTCATCTTTTTATCCACAAGTGGCGAAAATCGAATGTATTTGAACACACAATTACATAATTTTTTAGTAAAATCTTAGAACCATATAGTAGATACTTCATTTGTATCAGACTTGACTGTTTCTTCATTTTCACACTAATCACTCTGTTCTCGTTCTCTTTTCTTCGATCTTCCTAACATTATGACGCTAAGAATCTCACTTTCGATTAATAACACATACTACTTATATATATATGTCGACATCAGTAGCACACACCACACATCCAACTGACAAGTCCCATATAAGGTGGAACGTACTTTCTGGATCCCATTGCTGGCTATATTCCATCTGTTCTACAACGATAGAAAGACTGCTGAGTTGCTTTATATGTAATAGCCCATTCAGAGAGTTGTAATCAGTCAACAAATTCTAAGCGAACCTACGACTATTTCAATGTAAAAAAATTTGGACTGCGACTGAACTGATATAGGATTAAGATTTATTTACAATTGAGTGATGACATGGGATTTAATTCTCCAGGAAACATTAGTTCCCTTAGAGTTACTGGTAAGCTTTACTGATGGGTACCAGAATGACACGAAACCCTCGGTCTAATGTTTCCTGTTGACTACCTCCAACTACTACTTCACACTTCCTTATTGTGCATGCGATGTCAGGTTACTGAAACTTGATCGATAGAACTTTATCGACACTACGAAAGATTTGAAATTCATGACATTGGTCACTATTCAATGATCAATCAATTGTATATAGAAGTTCTGTTCAAACTTTTAGAAGGAGAAAAAAAATATAAAACAGTTTACCTCAATAGCACAATAACTTTCTTTGATTGCTTGAACTTGTATTGATTCAATGAATAAATAATTAAACAGCAAGAAATATTGAATTCTTTGTTAATTTTCAACATACTTCTGTGGTGCATGCTACATATGTTGACAGACATACGTAGTATGTAACAACAATCAGAAGAATAATGCATGGCAGCGAAAGGCTATAAAGGTCGGCTTAAAGAAAATAAACGGAAATAGAAAGGAATCATCATTTAGAAGAATCATACGGAATATGAAGAACAAATGATGAGAACACTCAAATGAAGTATTCAGTATATGGTTCTCATATTTTGCCAAGAGATTCTGTAATTACATATTTAGAACAACACATGTAAGCGTCATCAGGCTTTACTCTAATATACATGAATATTTGTATGAAAATGTTAAACCAATTAAGGTGACTTAGGTCAATTGTCAGTGGTTAAGACATTCGACTTCCAACCACAAGGTTCTGTGTCTGAATCTCCATTCACCTACTTTGGTTTGAGCACATTGGTACTATTGTGGTGTGTGCTACTGATATCGACAGATATAAGTAGTATATATCACTAATCAAAAGTGAAATATCTGGTGATAGAAGGTTAAGAAGATTGAAGAGAAACGAACGAGAGTGATTGGTGTGTAAATTAAAGAACCATCAAGTCTAAGACAATTGATTGACATTTTGCTGTATGGTTCTCAGATTTTACTAAGATACTCTGCAATATTATGTTCATATACATTTTGATTGTCCCCACTGTTGTTCTCGTTGATTACAGTATTATCTAATTTATTCATAACGTTAGATGATCAATGTTTCTGTTATTGTGACTTACTAAATAGAAGATTGATTGATTTTATTTTTGTAAATTTCTTATTTAGTTCATCTCAATACGCTGGTACTATCGCTGGAACATTTTTCTTAGTTTTTAGTATACCATTAATTATATGCAGTGGTTTTTTAACTAGTGCATTATTAATTATACAAGAATCGATTCAAGATGAACGGGATTATCGATGTCGTGATCCAGAATTTTATAAAGATGTTAGTTCACATTTTGCCTATTTTTTTTCCTCTTTCAATGTTTTATCTGTTGTACAAACAATCACTACTTTCTTCAATGTATAATTAGACCAGTAATGCTGGAACTCCATCAATGACTGTAATGATGTTTCATGTCTACTAATTTTGTTCTTAGATATTCTAGGGATTCAATTTGCAGCTCCCTAATGTCCATGATGCGTTATTATACCACTTTATATAACTTTAAGTCGTATTCTACACGTGAATTCGGTTACGATTTGTTCGTCCTCGTGAGAAGCCATTCTTATGACTTGACTAACTGGTTACACAGAATTTCTTTTCCAAGGTTTCATAAGAAGGTAAAAAGAAGAAAGCTGTACTGATCTTTTGTTTTGATAATTATATTGAATACTTTTTGATTATACAACAGATATATTGAAACTTTTAATATTGTGTTTAGTTTATGCAATCATTTGGACGATTTTATATAAGGAAGTATAAGCAAGTATAGATTCATCTACTTAGATTTAAGTCTCAGTTTTATGGTTAAGGCACACGCAACAACAAATGCAGGAGAAGACGATCAGTGTAGCAGCAGTAGCTCTCAATATACACAAAGAGAAAAGCAAGATTCTCCGATACAACACAGCATGGACCAATCGAATCACACTTAACGGAAAAGATTTGGAAGATGTAAAAACCTTTACTTATTTGGGCAGCATCATTGATGAACACGGTGGATCTGATGCAGATGTGAAGGCGCGGATCGGCCATCATCCAGAAGATGCAGGTGTTTATTAACAGTTGTCTACGCAAAATACTTCGGATCCGTTGGCCGGACACTATCAGCAACAAGCTACTATGGGAGAGAACAAACCAGATCCTAGTGGAGGAGGAAATCAGGAAGAAGTGCTGACGTAAGTAGTGATACTATCCGGTTGTTAAACGCGAAATAAGTAGATCGGTACTCTGGAACTTGGGATCATTTCATTTCACATTTGGACTATCACTTGAGACATGGTTTAATGGTAAAGGACTACTTAGTTTCAAATTCAAGTCTCACTCCTCCCACTAGGTACGGTCATAAACCCTGATACATGAAGTATGGCTTGAAACTGAGTACATGAATATGTAATTAGTAATAAGTTGATTGATAGTCTTCATAAGTAGTTTTTTCTTTTTCAGATTCCATATCCACGTCAACCATTTAAACCAGTACCGACAACATCGTCATTGCCTACTCCATATCCTTCTGCACCTATTCCACAATTTGAAAATTTTTCAAAACCTTCTCTATCACCAATTCCATATAGAATTCCAAGTCCTCCAAGTTATCATTCAGCAGTTACATTGACTAATTAATCAAGTGCTTATGATGAATTAACAAATTAAAGTTAAACAATGATACATGTGTGTTTTAACAGTTGTTTTTTTAATTGCTTAATGTTATGACACACCTATTGTATTTCTATTCATATAAATTCTTTTTTGTATTTTGATCGAACTACTTATTTAAGCTTCAGTAGTCATTTTATTTTCTTTATATACAGTAAACACTAGGAGATGCTAAATTTTATTGGAAGTTTTTATACTGTGACATAACAACGTAAAAACTATTACATAATCTTATTAATTCAGGTTAACACATTTTGTAATAACACATATTAGGTGTTACTTTGTTGAAAAGTATTCGGCGGGAAACACTAAGTTTCAAGCTAATCAGCACTTGCCATCGTGGCGTATCCTCAATCTTGAAAGACCAAATACTCCCTGTATAGCTATCATCTGACTAACTCAGTAGAAACATTTCAGATTGTCAAACTAGGTGATGCGGGTTCGAATTATTCAAAAAGTATCACTTCCCTCAGGATTTCAGCTAGACCTTGGTAACAAGTGGCAAACAGCGTTAAGTAGAGGTCCAGGATCAACTGCGAACTACCATCAACCATGTACCATCCAAAACAAAACGCATGCGACAGGAGGTTACGTCGAATAGTAGTCACAGCGGAAAATGATCAGGGGAATTATATCAACGCTAACGACCGGAAAAACGTGGTGTCATCTACTAATCAATGATCAGACAGAGTACATACTAGTTAATGAGTAAACCCATTAATCATATAGCAACGTAAGATTATTCCACTCATATCAGAGAAGATAGCAAACACGTATGGTATATTGTGGTTTCGTTTTATATATTTGTTATTTGAATGATTGTTAACAGAATAAACTCGGGGAAACTAGTTGTGTTCATGATTTCAACCAAACTTGAAACAAGATAGTTGAAAATTACAACCTCCAAATATTTTCAGAGGTACGACCAAGGGTAGGAAGATTCAGACTTCCTACTCGAAATGCTCTCATGCGTATACGGCTACTGCCACTGAATTCTTACCCACTGCCTTCTCGCACCCTAGGTGTTGTTTACGAAATTGAGAGGACGGATAGCGAATGTGGACAAGGAGAGTCCACCTAGGGAAGTTGGAAAACTCTCATTCCAAACCAATAGTGCACATAGGCTCCAGTATCCTGAGAAAATAAATGGCATATGAACCTATTGTTGGTCACTGGTTACCATGAAAGTGCATATCCTGACGTAGCTCCACTACCTTGTGGATTAGAGTTTCAGGTCGAAGGCTCCGGATGTAATCCCCTAAGAAAATCACCTACTCCTGTTTGAGCACCCGGGCAGTATCATAACCTACACACAAATCAAATGACTTATGTAGTGCATATGTATTCAATGCCCCCTTGTACAAGTGACATATCATAAATCAAGTTTATATGATCTCATTTTTACGCATTTATTAGACAAATTACATATCTCTACAGTAGTAGTCACTAACCAACAAAACCTTTTGTATTCAATAATAAACAATATATTCTGTATCTATCATCTGTAATACAAAGAATACCTTTAATAATAATAATAATAAAAGATTATCGTGAATGTTCAATACAATTAAACCTTTACTTTTTTATTTCTCAATTTTCCTTAGAAAAAACAACAGTACCGTAATCATCAAGAAAAAAAGAATGAAGGCGCGCTCGTGCACACACACGCACACATGAAGAGTTTTCATCCCATCAATTGACAATTTAACAACAAACAAATTATTTTCTGAACAAAATTTGTATATTTATTTGCATGTACAATGTATTTTGTAACTGATCTTAAATGATATACTTACCAATATATATTTATATACTGTATTACTTACTTACTTATGCCTGTTACTCCCAATAGAGCATAGGCCGCCGACCAGCATTCTCTAACTCATTCTGTCCTCGGCCTTCCTTTCTAGTTCTATCCAATTCTTGTTCATTTCTCTCATGTCTATCTCCATTTCTCGGCGTAATGTGCTCTTTGGTCTTCCTCTTCCCCTTTGAACTTGAAGGCTCCAAGTGAGGGCTTATCTTGTGACGAAGTTGGATGCTTTCCTCAATGTGTGTCTTATCCACTTCCATCGCTGGGATCTGGTTTGTTCTCTCCCACAGTACGTTGTTGCTAATAGTGTCCGGCCAACGGATCTGAAGTATTTTGCGTAGACAACTGTTAATAAATATACTGTATTGGTCCTTGCTTAAAACTACTTCTATGGGTTATCATTTCAAAATGAAAATGATCATATTTGCTAAATTGATGATAAAGGCATTGGATGCACTTTTTGAGTGTTTTAAATAGTTGTTGTTTCCCATTATATATGAGATCTGAGAATGTGAATGCGGTGTAATCACATGTCGGTAGGTGTAGACTACCTGGTTGGGGACCGCGAGATAATAGCAACCGATGGTTAGAGACCCTGAATGACATGGCTCAAAATCATTTGCAATGGCGCAGGTGCATCCACTCTTTGTGTTCTCCCAAATTTTGATCTCCTTATTCCTCCTTGTCTCTTTTTTTTCTCCTCTCAAATTTATTTCACTGTATTATACTCTTTAAGTAACATCTCCAAACCCTAATCTTCCCGATTACTGCTTATACTCTTACTACCTCCACTACTACGGAATTTGAATCGACCACTGTATCTCTATGCTAATGTGGTGTGGCAACTCGAACTGATGTACGTACGTACGAAGTTCTACGTTGTTACTGAGTGATTGCAGTGTTCAGATAGACGGTCATTGTGAAATATAGTTTTTTCATATATTAGCTGCGTACTTACGTTTAGAGATGAAGGATCATGCGGGGTAGGTTTGCTATGCTGTTTTTAGTGATTGTATGAAACCGTATTAGCTATAAATATTTGTTGTTTGACGGAAATAACTTATTGTCATTACATTTCAGCTCATTCAATCGTACAACTTTACCTTCAAACCATGAGCTCTTGCTTTTATGTTACCGTTGTCCAACCGGTTTACTTTTCATGATAGAACGTAAAGGGACGAATGTTGTAGTCAGTATAGCTCGTTTTTATCATTACAATAGGAGAGCACAACTATAAAATCTGGGTAACACTTACAGTCGGGTGATGGCGAAAAAATGGATGATGATTATACTATCACTTAATCTTAGAAGGTCCATGTCCAACACTGTCAATGGATAATCGCCTTGGAAGAATCCTGAAACAATAAACTATTCTACATGTCAGAAAAATCTCCAGAAGTTCCAGTGAAATTACAATATTCTCTATTAAGAGTAGTTTCATATTTTCTCATTTACGCCCAGAGAAGCATAGACCGCCGACCAGTATTCTCCAACCAGCTTTGTCCTGAGCCTTTCTAGTCATATCCTATTTTTGTTCATTCTTTTCATTTCTCTCTCCATTTCTCGGCAAAATGTGTTCTGTGGTCTTCCTCTTTTCCTTTGGCCTTGAGGATTGCATGTGAGGGCTTGCCTTGTGACACATTTAAATGCTTTCCACAACGTGTGTTCTATCCACTTACTCCGCTGGGATTTCATATTTCTTACGTAAGTTAAATCTTGAGATTGATGCTTCCAACACATTACTTCATGTTTGTAAGTGGCATAATATAACAAACATTGATATTTTAACCGTTGAATGGGACATCATGGTGGATGTAAGTTTATACTTCCTATTCATCCAGGTCCAAGTTCAAAAGAACGAGTACGATCATTAATGTGTAGTAAGAGATATGAAACAGTATGAGCAGATAAACCATGTGTTATTTTACGATTACCAGTAAATACTATAATTTCATTCTTAATCGCTTATCTATAAAAAAAACATACCTCCTTTGATCATAATCTACATTTGGACACTTCATGAATTATGTTCAGCGTGAATATCAACAAATGACGTCTATGGATAAATTATGCATTATATCAAATATGTTACAAAATGATTTGAGGTAATTTAAGCTGTTGAGCTAATATTAAGTAGTGCAGTATAGAACAAATTACATTCTAAATGTGTATACACAAATACAGATTATAGAACATTTGTAGAAAGATAATTCAACTTCAAATGCTTCAAAAAGAAAGATTTTCTGTAAAATACCGCGATTCATCAAGGCATGAACATACACACTACCTCCTGTTTAGATAAATAAATATCCCATTAGTTGAGATCATGAGTCAACTGAGGCTAGACCACCATGAAAAACTTGGAAATATTGGACGGCCATTACGTTCAATTGTGAGAGGAGTCCAGTGCTTCCAGGTGTTCCATGGTGGTCTAGCTTCAATTGACTTATGATTTCAACTACTGAAATTACTGCAATCTCCACAAAACCCTATCTGATACAAATAAATATCTATTAAAAAACGTCTTATAGAAAGCACTGGAAGGATGCAAAATGCTCTGATACTTAGAACAATTGGTAGTAAATTAGCTTTAATTGCAGGGTTCAGATGGAGGAGAACCATCGAATAAGGATGATATGGGCAACCATAACTACAGAGATCACATTTTCAAATAACAAGATATATTTATACACTTCCAACAAACCGCAAGTTAGTCAGATAATCCAAATTTATCTCTATGCGGTTCGAATAGAAAAAAATGGAGAAATTGGTCTCTTAAAACAAGTATCATATATGGCAAAATTACTTTCTCCTTTCAATTTAAAAACAATGAAAGCTAATACAATCCCCTACGAAACATTATTCTAATGATCGAGATATTTGCCACACAAAGAAAATTCGAATCGAAACACCAGACGAAACAATACTAATGATGATAGTTGGTTATCAAACCAAAGATCAAACAAATAATTCCCTATTACACAATTCAAATGAAACAGTCATTCAATAGGTCAGTACCGATTGAATAATTAATTTAAAAATAACAAGAACAATTTAACTTACATCAATATATCCACTACTGATCAATTAATCAAATAGAGTTGAGTGGGGGGCTTCAAATTGTGGAGTTAAATTGAGCGAAATTTGAATAGTACGAAAAGTAACAGTATGCCTTGTTATAACACAAATGCTAACTAAACACCATAACTCAGATTAAGTTTAGTACCTTGTCAACTATCTCCGACCATCTATGACTATAATAGTGAGTTTTCAAAGATCAGAACAATGATGCAAGATATTTCGTCTTATAAATACATTATTATTATTATTATGATTAGTATTATCATAGTAAAGAAAAAGAATTAAATTAAATAAATTATACTGATGATGATAATAATAATAACAATAATAGTAATAATGATAAGAAATGCCACACATTATTAAAAACAATCCCTCCCATTCATGAAACTAAATTGGTCAAATTAGAGTAGAGTAGAATAGAGCAGAGAAAACCAATAAAATAGTAATGGTTTTTGTTTAAAAACAATCACTAAATAGCAAATTTATATACATAATTCTTCAACATTAGATGTAATAGTCAAGAGAGAAAAAAGGAGTGGGGGGGGTAGTGAGGGAAGATAATTGATTTCAAGGAATTCAGTATCATTATCATGAATAAAAATAAAATTCAATTCATACATCATATGTATAATTCAAAATAAGGATTACTGTGCACATTGTCTAATGGACAATTAAAGCATATCAATAAATGTAGAATGAGGAAATCTTAGCAACCGAATGTCCATACACAGTAATTATGTATGTGTGTGTGACAGAGAGAGAGGGGATCATTGAAGAGGTGTATTTATGTGTGTATAAATTACATAATTATCTAAAAAGAAAATATTATGTGTCTTGTGGTTAATATGTACATACATTGATGAATTAAAACAAAATGACAGGTTTAGAACTTTATACTCCGTTGTGTCACATACATACAACATACACACACACACACAAATGATTATTTGGTTAAAGTACAGAGAGCGAGAGAGATGGAGGTGTATTTGTGTTTAAAACAAAACACAAACAAACAAATATTTTTCAATGTAAGTCAAGTTTACATTAACGTGTATGTGAGTGTGTATGGAGCATTAAAACACCCTTAGAGAGAAGGTGATCAACACAAAATAACAATATACACAACATATACACACACACACATACTTTGTTACATACGTTGTACACATTTAAAGAAAAAAAAACAATATGAAAGAATAAATGAAATTAGTGGTAATAATAATAATAAAGGAAAATGAATTGAAAATTATCAATCAACACAAAATAGATGTGCGTTTATTCAATAGTTTTCATAATCATCTTTCTATTTTGTCCTACTCTCCTTGTTCTACTCTACATGTCAATATATATAAACCCTATGGATAAAAATAAATATTAACAAATACGTTGTGATTACAAATGAGATGAGAGAGAGAGGAGGAGGAGGAGGAGGAGAAACAGGAAACAAGACTGAAGATTGTATGTCTATGAATGTAAATCTTGATTACAAATTCTATTTATTATGAACAGCTTTTTATTATATTAATTAACAATTTGAAGCTTCAGAAGGATCACGATTATTTCCAGAGGTATAAATGCGATCTTGATGTCGATGTGATGAATTCGATACTGATCTTTCGCCATGATTATGCCTTGATGAATATGGAGAACTGTCATCACGATCTCTTGATCTATGTGAAGAAGATGAATCACGATAACGAGGATTGTATTCATCATGACGATGTGATTGTTGTTGTTGATGATGATAATGAGGTGGATGTGTATGGTGTTTACGATCATAACGAGAATTATGATGAGAATGATGACTACTAAAGCATGGATGTTGTTTTGATGTTGATGATGACGATGATCTATAATGATCAAATTTACTGGAATTTCTTGATTGATACGAGTTATGATGTCCATGTGAATGATGACGGTTTTCATAATGACCACCATAATCACGAGATGATTCTTTAAATTTTTTCGATGCTAAAATACTACTACTATTATGAGCTGTAGTAGTGATATTAGTAGTAGTAGTAGTAGGTTGACGTGATTTAGATATATCAGTATCTACTTTTGTCTTTAATTGACAATTTTGAACAATCGGAGTTTGTAAATCTGTAACATTATAACTAGTTTTAATTGATTGAAAACATTCAGGTATAATATCAGTGGATATGTGTTCTACGGAATCTAATTTTTCATCTAATACAGGTGTTCCAATACTTATTGGAGGAGAATCATTATCATTAGATATCGATTTTGAATTTGTTACTAATGATATAGGAGAGATAATTTCTGTAGTGGTTGTCTCATTCTCAACAAGAAATTGATTGATTTCATCTTTCACAGATAATGATGATGATGATGATGATGAAGAGTTTAAAAGTGTATTATCTTGACAAATAGATTCATCACATTGTTGATTGTTGACGGTTGAATTATCAATCACGTTATTATCATTATTTAATTCAGTAGATAATTCATTATGTTTTAATAAAGTATTATTATTATTATTATTTGGGGATAATGATGAATCTTTTTCAGGAGATGATTTATACGTAGTACAAATGGAATTTATAGTTGAATAATCATCTGAAACTAATGTTTCAACAGCAAATTTTGTAAATGATTTATATTCTTTATTATTATTATTATTATTATTATTATTATTATTACCTGGAATTGAAATGACGGTTGTAGAAAATTCACAACTAGCACCAATACTACTATCGTTAACTTTTTGTTCAGTAGTAGTAGTAGTAGTTAGATTATTGAGTAAATCTATAGAAGTATCTAACAATGAATTATTATCATGATTAGTTGTCATGAATGAAATATTCTCATCTTGTACATTATTATTCATAATACAATTACTATTATTAACATCATCTATATCAATATCATTATCAGTATGAGATATATTTTCAGTTGAAGTAGGAGAAATGTTATTATGATGATGATGATCATCATCTTCATCATCATCTACAACGACTTCCTTTTCATGTGATGATTCAACAGATTGGTCTTTATTTAAAGGATTTATTGAACTATCATCTATGAATATATTAGAACTTTCTACATTATTATTATTATTATTATCATCGATTATCGATTGACTCGTAATATTACTTTGAATCAATGAATAATTTGAAGAAATTGTTGATGTTGAAAGTTGATGATCACAATCATTTATTGATTTTAAATTGTTATTATTATGATTAAATGACATAATAACTGGTTGATTGGATTTCAATGCAAAATGTTTAATTTCTGTTAGAACTTTATGAATTGTAATATGACTAGAGAAAATTGGTTGTATATTCATTAAACAAGTTTCATCATCATCATCATTATTCTGAATTAAATTTGATTCATATAAATGTGTACATAATAATAATAATGATGATGATGATGATGATGATGATGATGATGATGATTGGATTGATAATGTTCGATCTATTGAAGATATTTGATTAGTTGAAAGTGATAAGTGTTTAGTATCATCTGATATATGAATTGAGTTGTTTAAACTTTCAATAGATATATTATCATATGTATTGTTATGGTTTAATTCAGATAAATGATTAACAGTTAAACATGAACTATTATTATTATTATTATTATTATTATTATTATTATTATTATTATTATTATTATTTTGTAAATTGTCAATAATTTCATGAAGTAATTCTGGTTCTGGTACTAATCTTTTACGTGTAATGGAACATTTACGTTTTCTTGTTGATCCAAAACTAGGTGATGATGAAATATTCAAATGATCATCAGTAGGTGACGTAATAATTGATTGATTATTTGATGTAGGCTTTAATATTACTGATGATAAACGATCTATAGAATCTTCATTAGATTGTAAATCAGATGGCTTTAAACTATTAAGTGAATTAAGAGGTGAATTATTATTATTATTATTATTATTATTATTATTATTATTATTATTATTATTATTATTATTATTAGTAGTAGTAGTAGTAGTAGTAGTAGTAGTAGTAGTAGTAGTAATAGTAGTAGTAGTAGTAGTAGAAGTGATTGGGACAATAGAATTTAATGCTAAAGTATCCACACTAGTTTCTTCTGTATTAGATGAGATAAGAGAATCATTTGAAAGTTGTTTAGGTGAATTTTTATCAACTGTATTACATAATGAATTATTTGAATCGATTATGACTAATGACGATAAATTATGGTCTACATTAATTTCAGATGATATTTGAACAATATTTGATTGAGTTGGTGATGAATTTTCTGACATACATGTACGTTTAACGGGAAGATTGAGAGATTCGTCTTCTTTATTGGATGATATTTCATCAATTTTATCGGGGAGTACAGCAGTTAATGTAGAAAATTTATCAGGTAATAATGGTACAGGATTAGATGATGTAAGTTTCAATGATTTATTGAAACCTCTACTTCTTCCACGATTGATTCTAAGTGGAATTCGACCTCGAGAATACAAACTACGTGATGATGGTAATGATATTTCATCAATAACTGGGTTATTTTCAACGGGTAACAATGAAATGGAAGTTTGTTGTTGTTGTTCTGGAACAATGGAATTTTGAGGTAATGTAACTGTGGATTGTGAAGAGTTGGTTTGACGTTTCCGTTCCAACCAGTCAACAACACGAGCCAGTTTTTCACCCTAGATTTTCAGAATCAACAAAGAATAAATAAATCAATTACATAAAAGAGGAGTAAACAAAAATGTTTAAGTTATTCTTTTTTCAAAATCTAAAAACATTATTCCGCATAAAATGGAACCGCTTTCAAGAGTTAAAACGTATTGTTTTATATATAAATATCAACAATTAGGAACAATAAACTTTAAAAGTGCACCAATCCAGTAACTGTAGTGATGGTGCATTTACAGTGTAAATTAAGAATGGAATTATTTAATCTTGAAAGTTATTGTCACTGTACATCAGGATAATCATATTAATAATCTTGTGAAAACGAATGGTGCTACTCAACTGGGCACGAATGTGTACTAACCCAAACTTTCATACCACGTTAGTACGACAAAATAAAATTAGCAGGATCAAAAGCGAAGAAATAGAAATAATGTATTAGTGATGATAATGAAAAAGACCAAACATTGAAAATACGGTTCAAGCAGATAAAATAAAAAGGTATATGTGAAGGAACATGAAATCTTAAGATCTAGATGGAATAGGATCAAAAGCAAATACATGAAAGACAAATACAAAGTCTCCGGCCATTGACTGCAATTATCTAGAGGACCCCCGACCACGTATTGTATACCTAACAAGACAGGTTTAACCAATAATAAATGAATTCATAGACTGATGACACATTTTCACTAAATTGTCCATAGTAAATGGAATTGTGTAAGGTTGTAGTCTATTCGTTGGAAACTAAGAACTAAAGCCTTCAAGAAGTCACTGGCTCGAAATAAACCTTCCTTTCCAGTGATTTAACTTAAAATTTCTTATAACTAAAAGTTATCTAGAAAACTGTATGTGGTGAAAAAAATCACTACTATTGTATGCAATGCTACACAACCACACTCAAATCAATTATGGAGTAATCAAGCCTAGAAGTACAAAGATCATACTCTGGTGTGTGCTACTTATATTGACATAAGCATTATATGATGTTAGTCGTGAACAGAAGGTCTGACAGCAGAGAGACAAGAGGATCGAACAGTAAAGAATGGAAACAGAATGCAATTTGTACGAAAATGTAAGAACAATGAAGTCTGAGTCATTTTGAGACAATTGGACACTCTGCAAATTAAGCATTTACTTTATGATTGTTAGGTTTTATTATCAAGTCCTGTAATTTTGTGTTAAATACATTCGATTGTTCCCACCCGTGTTCTGTTCACTACAATACTACAAAAACCTAAGGACAGAAAAATTTGACACAATAAATACCAGTTAAGTAATTAAGCCAAATTTCATTTATGAGAGGCTTTGAGAGACAAATTACGCATTGGAGTTAAAGCCAGTATACATCTATCGAAGCAGTAATAGTACCCTACAATAATCTCATTTTTAAAATACTGGTTGAACTTCAGTCTTTGTTGGGAATAATATATGTCTTCTGTGAGAAACGGTTCTATATAGCGATTAAGTGATAAGCTATTCTATAGCTATCTGGACTCAGTAACTCAGTGGATAAAACAACAGGTGTTTGAAGTGGAAAGTACTGAGTTCAAGTTCCGGCGCATAAATCAATACTGGTATACAAGTACATCTAGCTATCAACCAACCATACTAGATAGAACAGGATAGCATTATCCGAATTTCACGATGGCTAGCTAAGCTAATGATTACATCACAAATTGACAACCTTAAAATCAAACAAAAATAACAACTATGTTGATGTAAACAGAGAAATAAAGAAGCCATGTTAAACAACGAAAGTTGTTTTTGGAGACACTATTTCACTTAATCCGATGTTTGTAAAATACTAACATTTGTTTTTTCCATAGTTTATTCTATAAACCATAGGCTTTCGTTCGATGCATGATTCAGTGTTATAGATTTTTCTGTTCCAAAACTATTGTAATTTAAACGTAACTGATTGTGCCATTTGCCAATTTTGAACATAATTGTATTTACCTAATTGTTTGTGAGTTGCGGTCATGTTAGTCACCTATTTCTCCATGTATCTTCTCACCTTAATCTGAACCGAGTAGTGTTTTAGTTGACTCGTCCTCTCTCTCTCTCGTTTTCAATCAATTATACGATAGAATAACATTTTGCCCAAGATCGTTAGTCTCAATTCGGACCCATGCATTACTAGCCTCACACTGGAACCAATTGGTTTATCGTATCAAAGCCATAACTTGGATCGAGACAAGATTTCTCTTGTATATTACTGGGTAGGAAGATCAAGGATGTAACATACGTCTTATAGACAACGAACATTTAAAATACTTTTGTATTTACATATTGAGACATGTTGTGTAACACCTCCCACAATGCCCTGGTATGGCTGAAGATAGAAAGAGCCCAAAAGCTTGAATATAGCAACGCATAAATAACCACTCCCACGCAAGTCCTATTCACTGCATCCTCGCGAACAGGTTGTTGTTTACCCAATTGAGAGGACCGAAAGAGAATATCAAATGGGTGCTTAAACAGGGTTATTGGGTACGGAATATCCAATTAGAATAGGAAAATCTTGATTTCAAATCAATCGTGAACATTGGCTCCACGATCCCAAAGGGAACAAATAGCGTATGAACCTATTACTGGACATCGGCTATCATGGAAGCGCACCTCCAGACCTCGGAGTGGCTCTCTAAGAAAACTACCTGCTCTGATTTGGGTCCCCAGGAGGTATCCTAGCTTACAAAAAGTTTATTAATAACTATAGTGTGTGGTGTATAAGTTTATGCGTTGAAATAAATAAATAAATAAAACACGATGTGTAGCTAAGGTTATTTATTTTCTTGAGAAAAAACGATAGAACTTGAAATATTAGTTACGATAACATAGTTCGTCTACCAATAATATAGTCTACGAAAATTCCATGACATGACTACTGTCACAAAAGGAGCCCAGAAAAACGAATAATTACTGAATGGACAAAATAAAAAATTATCACTAGGAAAACGCATTAAGTTGGATAGAACTTATAAGAACACAAATTCTTAAGAAACTCAAACAAACCTTTTGCTTTAAACTGCCAACTGGAACTGTAGCATTCTTCTCATCGCTATTGGACATATTTCCAGATGTTGTAATACATTCTTCAGTAGACGTTTTGATTTCAAATGTTTGTTCATCTTTGACAGATGCCTCTGAGAAAGGTATTTGATCACGGGTGAGTAGTTCAACAGCTGAATACTGTCGTGGTAAACTACCACGAATACATTGATTATCAGGTTTACGAAGGAAACAATATGGCTATGAAAGGGAAAATAATAAAAAAGATTTTTCATGTAACAATGACTAGCATTCATTTTATTGGTTTTCAGAATTACCTTATTCATTTTATGACAGAGTTTTTACCGAATTCGCTGGTGTTTATAACATCAAGAAGAAATTGAATTCTTGTGTACTATTCTCATTTAACAGTAAAAACGACACATCTAAATACTTCCAGCTAACTAGTATGTTCAAGAGACTAAAACTTTTAAAAAAGCATTAAGTATTAGACACCTGGAAACAGCCTGTATACTAATGCGGCAAGATTGTAGGCTGAAAGTTAAAAGACTGTTCTTTTCGACTACTTCATACAATTATTCAGAAATTCTACAATTTGAACCAACCTCAATATTTTCTAAACCTTTAACAAATAATTAAATGAATATTTTGAGACGGCGTATATATATTACGTTAAAAAGTATTAGAAATGAAATAAATTATTAGATTACCAGATGAAACGGTAAATAATCGCGAATATGAGATTTCACTGTGTAATTTCTTATCATACATCTTTCAAGAGGGTAACCTAAACATTTTAGTTAAACAATTATACACATATCGTATAACAATATAGAATTCACTAATTAATAGAAAACACCTATCAGTGTATAGGGGTTGTGGAGATTATTAAGTTTTATATGATTGAGATCATGAACTGAATACACCTAGTCTGATGAAATCGTTAACTGTATGTTTCAGTACAAGCTAGCTGAAAGTAATTAGCCCGAAATCATCATAAAAGACATAGAGTTTCTAATTGTGATTAATGATTACCCAAGATGAGAAATTTTCACCTGTTTTCTCAATTGAAGAAACAAATGCTTTAGGGCATAAGGTTTTGTGAAGATAATTTAGCACAAGGTCATCTTTCTTTCTGTACTAGTATCAGTAAAAAGACTACTATAAACCAGAAAGCTCTAAACAGTTATGCTGTCTTTGTTTTGAACTTTCAATGGATGCTTACAAAGGATATCGTGAAGCAGAATTAAATATCAAGTGCTCGCTAATTTTAGTTATATACAAAGTGATCTCAAGTGCTGTTAGAGATATGAAGGTAGCCATCACGGTGTAAATATCCCTTTTTGAAACACCTGATAAGAAAACTAGATAAGTAGTAGTCTAAGAGACCTGAAAGTATGCACGCAGAAAAAGAACAGTTATTTGAAGCTGATCATACGTAAGTCTTGTGTGAGAATTAGAACCATATTTAAATGGCCTTGCTACCAGTGACGGGAATCTATTGGGTAATTTGAAGCATCTCATGTTTTGGGCCAGTTACCCTAAGGTGTGAAAAGGCTATAAAAGTACGAATATTGGCTGTTTAATGAAAACATCTTACAGTTGTCATACCTCGGTACAATCAACTGCAAGTTTTCTATTTCGATCACTGAGTTGAACACTTCAATTATACAGTCCTTCAACGAACTTGATGGAACAGAAACAAAGTAATTTTTTAGAGAATATGCACCAATTTGTAAGCTTGATCATCATTGCAATGAAGCAGCTAAGGTAAGAGTGGTATGACAGCCTGGACCGATCTACATGTGTGTTTGATTTTACGTTGTGAATGACTAACACCTTGTTTTCCAACTGATAACGGACTATCATGAAAATGAACTTCAAATCAGAGTTTATCTTCATGTTTTATATATAGGGAAAACCACTAGATTAAATATAACTAAATTGAAGTGAGAGATAACTTTTAACAGCATCAAAATCTAACTAGCCGACAGAGCAAAAAACAAAGTATAACAACAGATTATTGATATGGATATTTAGATCTCAAATTCACATACCTTCATACTGACTTTTAAGTAACCAGGAGATATTTCATCAAATCTACAACTATGGTTATCAACTGATGACTGTTCAAATAATTTTTCACAAACAAAGAAATATTGAAACTGATTTGTAGTAGAATTGGAATCATTCAGATTGTCATTTTTCAGTGATGGCATAAATTCTTTTATATGTGCTGTATATAGTAAATCAGCCGGTCTACCAACTCTATATGCTGAAGGGCATAACACCATACATCTACCAATCCAAGCGTCTAATGGAAGAATAACACGTCTAGCCTCATCGTAGACGACTTCATCAAGATGCCAAAATTGTGGACATTTTGATGAATCAGTTATTGCCGATATCGGAGGTAAATCATATGGACGCAGAAACAAACCACCTTCTAGCCAAGCTAAACCACTAAAAAATGTGTTAGAAACAATAGTTGTTTATCCAACAATCTACATTAGTTTTTATAAATTTAACTATGTAGACTATAACACTGAAGGGATTTGAAAAGCATTGAAATGTAGTTAGTGAAAGTGAAATGTGATAGAACAATCGGTGTTGGATGGTGACAAATATTCAGTTATTCCGGACTGAGTTTATAGACAGTTTGTAATTGTGTTGAGTGAAGTATTTTTTATCAAGCATATACTGTAGTTCTCTATATTTGACGGCGAATCGTTTGTCTAGTGTAGTATGATCCCAGTCGGTGCATCGGGTGTCGATGAAGTGCCCAGTCAATCGATAACACATAATATCGGTCACGAAAATAAAATTTTGATTTAAATCTTGACAGTTTGAGATATAGAACGTACAGCAATATCACAAATGAGTTTAAAGGCATCATTAAAAATTATCGAACAAGTAAGAAACAGTGGATAGTTTGAGCTTTACTATTAAGTTCAGCTTAAAAAACCAATCTTACATGATCTAAATTAAAAGTAAGTAATTATAAACTGACTGATTATTGAGTAATGACGAAAGTCAATTTTAGCTAAGCTTTTGTTATCGATTGGATTTTATCGAACAAGTCAAAATAAGAGTTACTAGTTTAACTGAATTAATATTGCACGGGTACTGTTTTGATAGTAGGTTGTTAAAATTAATCACCAGGAAACCATGAATCTAGGTTTCATGCTAATTAAGACTCGTTAGCAAGGTGTGCAAGTTTCCTCAAAATTACGAGTACGGCTGGCCCCGAAATGCTCTGGTACGACCGAGCGTAGGAAGAGTCAGCTCTTCCTCTCGAACTACTCTCACATGGCCACGCGTATATGGTCACTGCCACGGAAGTCCTACTCACTGCCTTCTCGTGGCATTCATGTTGTTTACGAAATTGAGAGGACGAAAAGAGAATGTTCGACGCTTTAACCGGGTTGGTGGGCACGTAGAGTCCATCTAAGGGAGTTGGAAAACTCTGATTCCAAACCAATGGTGAACATGGGCTCCAAGATCCTGAAAGAATAAATGGCGTATGAACCAATTATTGGTCACCGACTACCATGGGACTGCATCTCTCATAGTTGCTCCACTGCCTTGTGGATCAGACCTTTAGGTTGAAGGCTCCGGGTGTGACCCCCTAAGAAAACTACCTGCTTCGGTCTGGGCACCCGGGCAGTATCACAGCCCTCACACAAAAGTGTGGCGCATATATAATTGGTGCCCTCTTGTACCAATATTCATGTGTTCAAAGAAATAAATATAGCGAGTACAGCTACCTGGAGAGTGTTCATTAGCATCAGAACTTGATCAAGTAGGATTTCCTGTTGACAATTCCTGTCCCCTCCAACTCATAGCCAAACTGTAGAGTGGATGATGTACAACAGAAAAGATTAAGTGGTATCGTGAAAAAAATATTCAACAAATCAAAAATTACTACATAATAAAAAAATTTTCGAACCTGACATCCTTCCATAATCGATAAATTCGAACAATAATACGATCATAAGCAGATTTCACTGGAGACTGTAGGGATTGATCTAAAAGTTGTTTAACATTCGTTAATACAGTAGTTGTTGTTCCCTTTGATATATCCTGTGAAATATTGAGATGATTTAACCAGAAACGATTAACAAATGCATAATCATCTGTACGTATTTGACAAGTTCCATCAGGACTACCTAATGTCCAGAATTCATGTTCACCTTTCACCAGTGTATCTTGTAAGTCAAAGACAGCATCTACATCGTTTAAACTCATCGCTGCAGATAATGAACGAGGATATTCCTTTACAATAGAAAAATTAGTTATAAAAATCAATGGGATGGTGAAAAATAATTGAAGAAATGACAAGAAATATTTGTTGAGATAAAGAAAACATGAGTATGACATATATGTAGAAAGATTAATGTCTAGAAAAATCGACTTATTTATTCTAAATTATATAGTAGTTAGTTAGTCAGTTAATTAGCTAGACAGGAAACCTAGAATGTTTAGTTTTTTCAGTATGACCACATTCATATTAAGTATAAAAAATATATATACCAACAAGGAAGTGGAAATGAATCGATGCACTATAATAAATAGGTCATGAAAAACAGTTCATTAATTCTAAGTAATATAGAACTAGGGAAATATGAGTGCATCGATTCACATTGCCACAATACATTACATTACAAAAATGCTAAATTAGTAACAGTATTTGGGGTAGTAAACCACTTTAACTATAGATTATAGGATTCAAGGAAAAATGAACTGTCGGTATCAGGTTGTGGATATTGTTATGTTTTATTGAAATCCAGAACTGATTCAAGTAAGACGAACGATGAGAACCTGGAATCACAGGATGGTCGTTTCGGCCTGGTATGGGATCTCTGTAGTGTATATCCATAACCACACCACCAAGACATTTGGTCTCCAAATAAAAGTAAGCAGTCTGTTTTTTTTAATAAAAATAAAGAAGGCAATTAAATTCTATGGAAAGCCGAACCACAGTAATACAGATCATATAACCATCTTATCATTCATTATTCTAGAATGCTAGTGTTTTCCATTTCTACATGAGAAAAACACTTCACAGAATCTGAATCGATGTTCCATGAAACTGTTGGAAATGTTATCCAACAGGTTAGATAAATGTGTTCAAACACAAACCATAGATTCTATTATAAACCAAGTATTTATTTAGAATAAGGATTGCAAATCTCTACTAACTATATATTGAATTTATCGCTTCAGCTGAAACATTTACAAATCAGTAATGAACAAAATACCATTTGGTAAAAGTACGCATCACACCATACCAGAAGTATTTACCAAATGAAATGTCCATTAGATTAATTGATGTAAATAATGAATGGAAATTATGGATAACTTCCAAAGGAATAGGAAAAATGAAGATAATTATATTGATTTTTTACAAGTATTTCAAAAAATACAATGAAACGTACTTTTGTTAAATTATCCAGTTTCAAGCAAACTGGACATATATAAGGAGCATCAACTTCTCGATCATCTTCACCTTTCACATCTACCTCAACTGTATTACCACCACCGCCACCAACAGCTTGTGCAGCAATTAACGCTGTTTGACATAAACGAACTAAGTTTGAATTTAATCCATTAGAGGAATCACTACGAATAGCCAGACTAAGTGCCCACCATAAACATGGTAGATGTTGCCACGATGCACATAAATCACATTGAACCATAACATGACCACCTTCAACACGAAAACCACATAAACATCGAATAACTTCAGCACCACGTTCGAGTGCACGACGATCAGTCTAAGTAATTAAATGAAAGTGAAAAATAGTTCATATAGTGAATATTTAATATATATATATATATATATATATATATATATATATATATAAGCAACTTTGAAAAATTCGTGTAGCTTTCGCTTTTAATGTCCAACGCGTTATCAACTGAGTCCAGATGGCCACAAGCTCGCTAAACGGAGCTAATGTATGTACCTGTCTCTATCAGTAAGGTTTGTGTTATCCCATCATTCATATTCATAACGATTACATCGAAGGAATGGTTAAAGGAGTTCATATACGGCAACAAGAATTGACGAAAACTCAATCGCAAATATTAACAGCGATATAACTCAAACTTATCTGAGTGTATTTACCTAACGAACGCTTTAGATAAAATTCACTTGGTGAGAAATATTACACATAATAAACATTCTAATGAGTATAGAACACTAACAAACGAAATCATAGTGTATAAGAATATACCAGAACAATATGATAACAAAATTAGTATCAAATATGAAGGAAAAGAAAAATCTAACAGTCAACTTACTTTTTTCTTAGAACTGTTATTTTGTGATTTAAGTATACATGGTACAAACGATTTTGGCATTGCAACCGGTATGTGATTCTCCAACTTTAAACTTTCAACCAAATTAGTCTACGAAAAAAAACAAGCAGAAACGATCAGTAAATATTGGGAGATTGAAGAAAAAAACACACACACAAACATAATCATGTCGATCTGCTTGAAAATGTTGATGACTTTTTCTATTGTAAACAAACAAATACTGCTATAACAACAACAACAACAACAGTGATAACGTCTTAGGATAGATGTTTGCTTTCTGAAAAAGTCAAGCTTGAAGAGAGATAAAAATTTAAAACTTAACAATAAATTTCTGATTGATTCAATTATGAAAAAGCATGGATTAGTTTGTATTCTGCTGTTTAATTGCCACTCAAAAAATCCAATGTAAACATATGCCACATGAGTACATCGGTTCAAGTTGCCAAAATTTTAATCACAGAACTAGATGAAATGAGCAAAAATGGGAAGATTCAAGCCCTCATAACTGAATCGTGTATAATAGTTGTTAACAATGTGACCTTCATAACACAAACAACCCTACCGCGACATCCAAAATATTTCTATGATTCTAGTTTACATAAAAACATTGAGAATACAATAACCAGAATGTAATCTAGTGGGTAATATTGTGTTGTTTCAGGCAAGGAGTGATAACTTTGAGGTAAGGAAATCGGGAGATTACTAGATCTCTGTTAATAACTATATGAAAGTTTCACTTAACGGTAATCACAACTGCTTTTTTCCAGTGTCAATATCTAAGTAACCATTTCTGATTGCTTGGCAGTCTTCGTTCGTTAATATTCTGTGTAACTTAGCTTAAAGTACTCATTATTAGATATACTGAACTGTATCATTTCAAGTTGATCTAAAAAATATTAAGCTACACTGACTTTCTACTGTGTCAGCGGTTAATCATTGAGATGTTTTATATCATTAGCTGTTATCAAGTCCTCAGCAGAACCGTTCATGTTAAAAGTTTGTAAGTAAGAAATGAGAGATATATATCAGAACCATGCAACTTCCCTGCTAGCTACCATAAAAGGACAAAAAAATCAGTTAATAATCGAGTGGAGGTTAAAAGTCCGGTCATGGAACTGAAGGTCCTGAGTTCGAGTCCCGTAAAGGAGACTGTAGATGGAACGGCCGTTTAATGCTTTCAAGTATTTAATCATGGTTTACCTTAGATTAACTCTTGATTTCAATTATAGGAAAGTTGTGTTACTTCAAATGAATGAAAATAAATTGATAGGTTGGTATCAATAAGCTGGGAAGCTCTTAATTGATATACATAGACAATATAGTAGTTGGTTGGATATCAAACACTTAAAATAAGTATAGTATTTCCTGTATTCATGAACAGGTTTAGTTCACTCAAGTTAAGCATTCGGTCTTTAATCAGAGTTTCAAAGATTGGGAAGCAAAAACGTGTTCCTTCTAAACAACTACTCAGTGATAAATAACTCATTAAACACTAAGTATGATCCCAACCTAGTATATTGTATCACACACGAGCAAACAGACAAATCCCAGATGTTCTGTCACAGAAAACATAGAGTTCCTATTACTAAACAAACAGGGAAATGTAATACACAAACTTTCAGGTAACAAGGCTTCAGAGCATGATAAAAAAATAGCTGTTCAGAACCATACAAAAGCGAAAGTTAACAAACGTGAAAATTCACCATTATCTATCAAGAATAAGGGTGTATCTGATCTTGTCGAATACGTGAGATAAAACGGGAATTCATGAAACAGAAAATAATTGCCAGAAATTTTTTTCAATTAAAATAACTTGAGAGTACACAGAAATGATCAATGACAAAACAGCACAATCCTAATCTGAAAACAAAAAATCGATGAGATATATTATACACTTAACCCTAATATAAACAAACAAACAAACAAAAAATCTACTTACACGATGTTTTATATAAACACTTTTTAATTTCATTAAACGTCGACCAAACCAACTACGACGTCCAGTAAAAGCTTCCCATACAGTGAACATATTATCCATAGCTATATCTAATGAATATAAACTTTCCATAATATTAGCATTTGTAACTAGGAGAAAATGATTTTCTTCTTTTTCTGATAATTCAACATGTAATAAATGATGATGATGATGATGAGGTGACAAATTATCATCGTCATTATTATTATTATTTAATGTTTGATCTTTTATTGAATTTATAATAAATCGTGATGCAATACTGGCTAAACAAAGTGATGGATATTCAACGTGATAAATTTCATCATCATTATTATTATCACCAACTGGTGAAAATAGACGATTAGTAAAATTCGATGTAAATTTAACATTTAATCCAGAACCAGATAAATGTGATGATAAGGTAAATCGATAAAATTCCGGATACCTATGTATGAGAATAATAAAAATAAATAACATTATTAATTTAACTGATATATATAACAATACAAAATGACCCCCCCACATACACTTTTTCTTTTCTTTTATATTACACATTTTCTGTTTACCGTTTGTTTTTCTAAGGTCAAGTCAATAAGACTCTGGAGAAACTAGGGACCAGTTTTTTTTAAAAAAAACCATAACCCGGTTTTTATCCAATACATACGATGATTAATAATATCACATAACCAAAACTCTAGTGTAATAAGTTTAAAAGAGATTCATATTTTCTTTTTCTAAAGGTAGTAAGAAGTAAAACAAAACAAAAAAAACACAATGACCTTAAAAAGCTTGTGACTTAAGGCTATATCGAGGCAATCTACACAGGATGTACAGATGCCAACATGAGACTGATCAATTGGAGTCATAAATAACAATAGGAAGATACAAGTAAAACAACATCAAGTGACCAATGACCTTATATGTTTACAATAATAAGAAATGATTAATTTAATTTAACGGAGAAGTGGTTTACATATTGTGGATGTTTTTGAGAAAAACACTCATTGAAATATGAGAACAATAGGACTGAAAATTTTGTATCAATTATCAATTATCATATAAACTGAACAAAAATTTAGGTAGAGAAAACCGATTCATTGTTTGATGTAAAATCATACTTTATGATTCTTAAAAATTCAGTCATGATTACAGTAGCTCTCTGTTTACATTCATGTTCTGCTTAACTAAAATGTCTCCAGGCATATATATTCCACCTCCAATTGTTGTTACATACTATTTATATCTGTCAGCATAAGTAGCATATACCACGATCAAAAGTTATATTCACGAGAAAATTTATTACAAATAGATACGGAATTTGTATAGAATCAAGTAATTTTACGTAGTCCCAAAACTATCTTTTTAAAAACACTGTTGTATCACAAGATTAATGAAACTATTTACCAAAACAAAATTATTAATTAACTATGACGTTTACCTTTCAGGTGATGGTAAGTATATTATAGGAGCACAAAGCCGATAATTTGGTTCGAGTGGATCAGGTTCATCAAGAAATTTACAAAATAATTCATATAGTGGACCACTTAGACAACGATCTTTGAGAAATGAAATCTGTTCCAAACTAGAAGAAAAAATTAGATGTAAAATGAACTCCAATGAAAATAATTGATTAGAATTTCACCAATTGAGCAAAGGCAAATTGAAATAAACTCTTCAGAATTTGAGGTAGTACTCATGAAAGCTAATACTACAAAAGTTTCAGAACTTCAGGACTATTTGTATGGTGTAAACGGCAAAGTAATGCACCAGATGATGTACTATGTGCTCAAACGTTTACAGTATAAACTTCGTCGAGATATGATATATGTTGGTTTCATAAGAGTTCGACACACGAACATTGATTCTATGAGTTAAACATTGTGATAACAGATACACAGATCTCAACAACTAACCAACAAAGACGAATACATGTACAGTACTTTCCTAGTCTCTCAAAAGGTTATAGAACTAGTTATGTTGTTCTAAGTTGATTCGACAGTACGTTTTCATCAAGAGACAGGTGAGATACACTGAAAGCAGTACATCATATAGACAAGTATATATATATATATATATATATATATATATATATATATATATATATATATATATATATATATATATATATATATATGAACTGCAAAAGGTGTTATCTGACATTTAAAGAAGTAACAATTACCTGGATATGGTAGCATCTTTGAAAAAACTATTACGACTAGGTAAACGACAGTGTTGTTGATTTAATAATGTTGATGAAGCATCCAAACTTAGAATAGATGAATTAGCCATACTTTTGATAGTCAAATGATCGACTTCGGATTTCATTTTGATGCTAGATTGTAAAGAATTCTTTTTGCTTGTCTGTTTTATCGATAGCAATTTCGATGACTTTATCGACATTGTTAAAGAGTTATTTGAATCTGATTGGGAGCGAGATATAGCACTATCGTCAGTCTACAAATAAATAATTAGAATTTTATAATATGATAGATAATAAAAGTGAAGTAAAACGAAATTTTAAAGTGATGTTACCAGATCGGATCAAGAGTAGAGTAAAGAGGTGGGATTAAAATAACTGTGACGAAATTCAGTCGGTTTCTAATCAATCAGAACAGAGCTTTTTTAAATGGATGTTTTATGGGCAAAATAATATTACAGAGTAAAAACAGATGTTACATACCTAATAGAATTATTGATATTTCTAATGTGTTACTCTGCCTGTAAATCGAAAAGCAAAGGTATATGAATTTGTTCATATGGATACAGATTATTTGTCTGTTCTGTTTGGGGGGGGGGGTTATGCACATTGTTGTTGGTTAATTCAGGCATTTCAGGTAGGGATTAGGTGTTTACGGGATAAAATGCATATCATAAACTGACATCGATTATAATCCAAAAAACGTTTTGTACCTATATAGATGAATTCACTATACGCAAGGATCCAAGAAACTCTGTCTAATTAATGCCCCCATGAAATATGGTGCCATAAGGTTTAATATTTGAATTAATGGATAATATCGAATTGCCTGTTATATACAATCGGGAGAGAAGAAATCGAGTGTTTTAACATCATTAGATTTACTTATTCGTTGGCAAATACAACTCCCCCTAAGCAACCATCTTTTCACAAACGATAATCAAATACTATCAACAAAAGGGATGATCATTTGTCTATTGGATTCGTGATATTTGGTGATGTAGACTACTTTTAAGACAACTTATCCGACTATTAACAAAATAGTTCTTAATAGAACATACTTTAGATAAATATAAGATATAAAGAGCTTCAAGTGACAATCAACAATTGCATAAGTACTACTCATAGAAATTGATTAAACTACAAAGAATCTGTCGGTGAAAACTTGAACGTTTCTCTATTTGACTAAAATGTGTTTTCATGAATTTCAACAATAACAACATGTAAATCCGGTTAAAGACGAATCCCAAATAGGGAGAAACGCGTGTCTTGGATTCCACTGCTAGCTAGCCTATACCAATCTATGGTAAGTTGTGAAAAATTTACAATTCAGAGGATTATTCAGATTTATAAATCGAATATGATGGGAACAAATTACCTCTTTCAATGCTGTATCAATTGGAACTTCATTGATTCTCATCTGTTGATTTTCAGTACTCTGTTCAGACGATTGATGAGTAGCTTCCTTAACCTGTATTGATTCTTGTGCATGTGTGGTTGATGATGTCGATAACGGCGATTCGTTGACAGTCTGAAGAGGACGACTGAATACGAAAAACAATTAAAAAATTGAAATAATAGTAAAATAAATATTCTATGCAAATTAATTAAGTGTATTACATAACAAGAGTAAAAAATATGACCAACTGAATTTTACCGTAACACAAAATTTTGTTAATTGATTTGAAGTAGATGACAGGAAAGCCGTTTGACTTGGGCTTTGTATTATTTGGAACAAATTAGCAAGATATAACTATAAACCTGACGGAACCGATTCGTCAAGTGAGATTGGAACTTGTGTCATCTTCGTTGCAACCTAATAGATAGAATTCAGTCAGGATATGACTGAATGTCACTACTCAGTAGCATTCATAAAACCATATGGACTTCACCGGATCACACTACACAAAACTGAATCGACCATATCTGCATCAACAAAAAGTTCAGGAGGACGATGGAGGACGTGACAACCAAGAGAGGAGCTGATATAACATCAAGTCATCACTTGCTAGCCGCCAAGATGAAGTCGAAACTCAAGATGCACTGGACAACGGGGTGGACAACATCACAAAAGTTCAATACGGCTTTTCCTCGGGATACTGACAAACTCAACAAATTCAAGATAATCCTCAGCAACAAGTTCCAGGCCTTTCATGATCTACTCAACGGAGAAGGAACTACTGTGGAGAGCAACTGGAACGGGATCAAAGAGGCAATCACTTCAACATGTCATGAGGTCCTGAGTCACAAGAAGCACCACCACAAGGAATGGATCACTGTTGATACACTGGATAAGATTCAAGAAAGAAGAAACAAGAAGGCAGCAATCAATACCAGCCGAACAAGAGCAGAAAAAGCCAAGGCACAAGCTGAATACACAGAAGTCAACAAGAAAGTGAAGAGGAGCATTAGAACTGACAAAAGTAAATATGTGGAAGATTTAGCAATGACGGCAGAAAAGGCTGCAAGAGGAAACATGAAGAACAACGAAACAGGTGAAGAATACTTCAAAGAAGTCTTGAATCGACCATCCTCACTGAACCCACCCAACATCGAAGCAGTACCCATGGACCTAACAATCTATGTTGACCCACCAACAATTGAAGAAATCAGCACGGCCATCAGACAAATCAAGAGTGGCAAAGCAGCAGGACCAAAAAATATTCCAGCAGAGGCACTGAAAGCAGACGTAGCAGTAACTGCAAAGATACTACATATTCTCTTCTTTCGCCTGGTGACCGACTGGATCATGAAGACATCAACGTCTGAAGGGAAGCACGGGATACAGTGGACATCCAGGATGCAGCTGGACGATCTAGACTTCACAGATGATATGGCACTTCTATCCCAAACGCAACAACAAATGCAGAAGAAAACGACCATTGTAGCAGCAGCTTCAGCAGCAGCAGGTCTCAATATACACAAAGGGAAAAGCAGGATTCTCCGATACAACACAGCATGCACCAATCCAATCACAATTGACGGAGAAGATTTGGAAGATGTAAAAACATTTGCATATTTGGGCAGCATCAATGATAAACACGGTGGATCTGATGCAGATATGAAGGCGCGGATCGGCAAAGCAAGAGCAGCATATTTACAATTGAAGAACATCTGGAACTCAAAACAACTGTCTGCCAACCAACACTAAGGTCAGGATTTTCAATACAAATGTCAACACAGTTCTACTGTATGGAGCGGAAACCTGGAGAACTACGAAAGCCATCATTCAGAAGATACAGGTGTTTATTAACAGTTGTCTACGCAAAAAACTCCGGATCCGTTGGCCAGACACTATTAGCAACAACGTACTGTGGGAGAGAACAAACCAGATCCCAGAAGAGGTAGAAATCAGGAAGAAGCGCTGGAAGTGGATAAGACACACATTGAGGAAAGCACCCAACTGCGTTACAAGACAAGACCTCACATGGAATCCTGAAGGTCAAAGGAAAAGAGGAAGACCAAAGAACACATTACGCAGGGAAATGGAGATAGACATGAGAGAAATGAACAAGAATTGGATGGAACTAGAAAAGAAGGCCCAGGACAGAGTGGGTTAAAGAATGCTGGTCGGCAGCCTATGCTACATTGAGAGTAACAGGCGTAAGTAAGTAGGTAAGTAAGGTTTACGGAGAGAACAAACTGTTTTTGAATAGACAAAGGGGGGTTGAATTTTCGTATGATCAGATCGTTCGAAATGTATTGCGCTAATATATCACATAATTCTGATAATTTTCGTCTTCTTATTACATTATCGAAATTTATAAGTAATTGTTTAATACTCGCTAGATGCTGACTAAGAGCCAGTGATTCACGAAATACAAAAAAACTGACATGAGGGATGAACAATTCTTTGACGTTAGAATTCTCGATTCCGGATATTTTGCCAGCAATGATTCATAAAAGATAATATAATATATCTGAACAGAATTGTCTACCCTAAAATAGTGATAGTAATTAATTGAAATGTTTAGAGTAGACGTTATAGATACAACTAACTATAAAACAAAACAACCGACAAACCTTGAAATTGAATCCAACATGTTCTCTGAATCCACAGCACCTGAAATGATAACAGTGTGAAAATATCAATTTATACGATTTGTTGATCTGTATCTTAGATGACTTATCTTTTCTATTACTACTAATAATCTTGCGACTACATTTACACCTGAGATTTACCCAGGTTCATAGCACTGTCCTACTTGAATATGCCAACCTGGACTGATGTACACAAGTGCCAGGTTCTATGTTGCATTCGACTGACTAATTTATTGGTTGAAAAATCATCATAAAACTTGAACAATATCTTAGGTCAAAATCTATCACATTTAATAAAATAAAATATAAACGATAATTTGATTAACAGAATATGGTTATTTCGTACAATAAAACAGTAAACGGTTGTTTTACAAGTTGAATAAAAGCATCGACAAGTCAAAGCATTTGTTCCAGAAATCCATATGATCACACAATACAGCTTCTGCTAAAGGAAATGGAGGTGCATAGGGATAGTTGTCAGCTAACTACGGTGTGCAATGCTCTTTATACGTAAACCAAATGATCGAACAAAGCACAACACTACTAGCCAAAAAACAACCGTTTACTTATTAGGACCGGTTAATTTGTAAGGACCCATTTCATTAGTGATTGTAGGTTGTTATATTTAGAGTCAATCAACATAATTGTTATAAAATGTTTAGGATGTAACTAGCTATAAAGTCAGTCTGTTAGTCAGTAATATACAGCATACCATTGTCTAGTGTGCTGACTCAAATTACCGTGACCATGAAAAACGACAAATAGTGAACAGAAATTCAATGAAATGAAATATAACAAAACTGACTTCGATTTAGCATATGTTCAGCAACGGGTAATTGAATAGGTCTGGGCTTCGGAGGGCGACCACGACCTCGAGATACAGTTGGCTTACAGGCTTGTATTTCTAAAGTTCCGATGTGTTGTTGTTGTTCAACCCAACTGATATTTGTAGTAGGAGATGGTAAACTTCCAGTTTCCGATCTAACATTAATAGTTTCTGGTGTTTCTGGTGCAGAATTGATAGCGACACCAGTATTATTCAAGTTTGCAGCAACTAAACTAGCAAATCCCATCGCTGCCGCCTTGAAAATCAATGGCATGAAAAAAGGAAACAGTGAAATGAAGGTCAATATCAATCAAAAGAACAACTGTTTATTGAAATCATGAACCGATAAATGATAGACGACCACTGCAAACCCGGAAGAGCTGAACAGCTGTTTCGTCCTAGCACGAGACTTTTCGACAGTGCGCATCCATGATTCCGCACACGGGACTCAAATGTATGAACCTCAATTACGTGCGCGAACAGTTAACCATTAAACCACTAGGCTAGGGTCCCACCGTATTAATGTTGGTTGGTAACTGCATCACACACGACACAGTTGAACTCCACTGGTGACGGCTTCTCGTCAGAACTTATAGGATTCTTTCTCCAAACTAGGCACTAGCGAGAACACGTTAACTATCAGTGTAGGGTTGTGGAGATTATTGAGTTTTAGTGATTTAAGTAACAACATACAAAATCGTCGATCAAAGTCGTTTGATTACAAAATAATTTTAAGAGTTTACATTGAGTAAAAATGTATGCATAGAACAATAGATTTTTCATTAAGAAATCAAACTACATTAAACTGACAATCATATCAAATTTCAAATAGATCCTCTGAAATTTTGGCAAGAAAGTCAAAACCCATAGACAGATAGTCTGTATTTTCCCCAAAGCCAAGAAAACAATGTCTGTATTGATTGATAAATTTATGTTTTGTGTCAACTAAATTATAAACAATGACATGATGTGTAAGCATAATTGCAAGAAACGCCTATTTCTAGTACAGATTGGATCTAAAACGCTAATTTCTCGTTGAACACACTTGATGTGATATTCAGGATATAGTCAATGGTGCCTGTGTCAATAAGAAAAATATCGACCTTAAATCATTATCATAACTGCTACCATTAGCTTAACCACAAATCCCTAACTCTAACTCCATTTTACTTACGGTCGTATTTAGTTCAACATGTGATGATACTTTAATTATCATGTCAAAACTGTTTAACCACTGTAATCTTACTATATTTTCACTGTAAATTAAACACTGTCTTAAGACTAGCTGATATGATGGTCAAGGTCATCACTATAGTACAGTTTTATCAACTAAGTTAATTATAAAATAACTGATCTGTATCGGATACACCGTGTTAGTGAAACGATTAGGATGGATAACTATTTATAATGCTTTTGGTGACAATTACTCACATTCAATTTGATGCCACATCATCTATCGTTCGTTGCACCTTCCTCCAAAGATTGCTAACATTCGGGGGTAACAGCATGTTAGTACTGATGAGATCCAGCAATTGTGTTTTATCTCAGTAAAGATAATAACATACTTTTAGGATCATTTTGAAACATCAGCCGGGGCCTTCGAATTAAAGGTCTAATCCACAACACAATGGAACAACGTCAGGAGATGCAATCCCAAGGTAGTCGGCGACCAACGATTGGTTCATACGCCATTTGTTCCCTCAGGATACTGGAGCCCATGTTCATCATTGGTTTGGAATGAAAGTTTTCCAACTCCCCTAGGTGAATCCACCAACCCGGACATTCACTTTTCGTCCTCTCAGTTTCTTAAACAGCACCCATCGTGTGAAAAGGAGGTGAGTAGGACTTCCCTGGCAGTGGTTGTATGCACGTGATTATGTGGGAGCATTTCGAGAGGGAGAGCTGACTCTTTCTACCCTCGGCCGTACCAGAATATTCGGGGGCAGAGAAGTAATCAGTTTACAACACAGTACCGGGGTATGAAAGAAAGTTATCTATGAATGGCATATATCGAGTTACCAAGACTCGCTAGTTGAATTTCTATATATTATATAAATTAGTAGCTTGAGATGTGATTATCTATTGCTCAAAGTGGAAGTCGATGGAGCTTCAGTTGTAAATTTTTCGTAAAAGAGAGATGAACTCTTTTAGTGTTAAGAATTTTTTCCAGTTGTATTTTATAAATGAAGTATTTCTCCGAGTATATATGATTGTCTTTTAACTACTTTGTTTTACTCATTTAATTGGGGTTTTTTTTAGAAAGTGTTCACTTTACATCATCTGTCACTTTACAATTTCGTTTTCTTACTGCATGGTGCATAATTATTTCTGTGTCGAGTTGTACAAATATTTTTGGGTTTAAATAAATGAATAAATTTTCATTCATTCAAAATTTCCACATTAGGCAAGTGATTAATAATTAGACATAGAATTTTACTGTGTCACTACTGTTAGTGTTAACGGTGTCAACAACGAATGGCTAACAGATTATGATAATGGTATTCAATAAATTTACATCTTCATCTATCAGATACTGTACTTGTCATATAGACCAACTAACTAAAGGAGTGCTGACAGTCATGAGCATTCACAATATGTGATAGAGATGATGAAAATTTTATGGTGAATACCTTAATAAGTAATGATTGCTTTCGATAATTTATTTGTGACTTGCACATACATGTACATATAATTATATGTCATCATCGAACAGGTTTCAGTTAAGTTGACTTTTAATAGTTTAGCAGACGTTTTAAATCAAAAAACAATCATAAATGATGAATATGAGATTCCAAATTACCTCACGTTTTGGACGATCACAAGTTACTGAAACTGAGTCAGAAGATAAGCAGGGGGAAACTGGTATATTACTATTGCTTTCCAGTCTTTCTAAGCGTCTAGACGGACGACCTCGACCACGTTTTCTGTGTTCAGGTTTTGATAGAGATATATCAGCATTTCCAAGATGACAAACTCCAGTACTTGAGGCATTATCTGTTAAATCTATGACAGTTACAGACAAGTTGGGCTCATTGAAACCTGATTTACAGAAATCCCTCAAATTATCTTTATCCATAACAGAGGAAGCATGGTTTTCATTGGTGTTAGATGTATCTATTCCCACCTTGTAGCGTTTTCGAGGAGGAAGAGCTGAGCTACGTGAAGTAGAAGAACGTCTTACGTTGCTTGGAAGTGATGATGAGGCAGAAGTAGGTAAAATATCACAGGCATCAGAACCGTCAGTTTCTTGGAGACGTGCAGACTGTTCCACGAAGTTGGGATCTTCAAGAATTGGATCTGTATTTGTAAGAACCCCATGTTGTGTTTGTCGTTTACGCTTCGCCGAAGGAACAGGAAGAGATGAAACAGATGAAGAGGTGTCAAATTGTTGCCGAGAGTCGACAGTAACAGAACTTTGAGATACTGAATCATTAAGTATATATTGTTCCGGGTGGCGATCCGAGTCACAAGGATGGGATTTAAACAACCGGTTAATTTTATACTTCTTTTTACGACGACCCGGTGATTTTAAGGGACTGATATTCCGCTTAACTGTAGTTGACGACTGATATGCACCGTCATCAAGTTGTTCAAATGAAGTATGCTGTGATTCGTTTGGTTCTTGTTCTACAGAAATTGGAGAATATTGGGTAACACATGCAGATTCCATTTCGCTTGCATCTGAGGTGACTGAAAACGAACACTGAAATCGGAAAAATAGCAGTGTTTTGAAGACGGTCATAGCAAATGAATGTTAATCAGATAAAAAGTATGGAATAGAGCAATGAATTAGTTTGCTAAAACCTGTCTAGTTATTTATATAACATGACCACAAATATATATATATATATATAAGACTGCTTAGTTTTTTAACTATTGAGCCAGCGACGAATAAATTTTCAACATATTTCACCAGGTTGGGTAAATATGGTCCGTCATCACAAGCACCATTAGCAACACATTCAACCTGAAACTTTAGGAATTACCTCTAGAAGTTCGTCACTAGTCGACATATAATGGTTCTTATCAAGTATGAATCTAGAAAATTTTTCTTGTCATTTCAAAATTTTCATGCATACAGTTATAAAAATTACTTACTTTCTGATCACAATCCGAATGATTCAATCGAGATTCACCTGCACTATTCCCAGTAGACGGTTTATTGTCACCGGTTGTTTTATGAATGGTTGTTTTTTGAACTGAAATTATATTATCCGACGATACACTTGACACTTCAGTACTAAGTCCAGAATATGCGACTACTGAAGATGTTTCACCCGGTTTCACACGACAATTTATTTCATAATTAGTGTGTTCGGAAGCTTTAAATTAAATTAATGAATAGGGTCAAGTGATTAGTTGATCAATAAGTGGTCGGGAAGGCTACCACGTATAAGATACGACGGTTAAGTAAAGTACACGAACAATATTTTTTTCAAAAATTTCAAATTAGCACAACAAGTTTAATGCCAAAAAAATACAAACTTTAGACTTTTACCGGACAAAAGTCTTTCATTGAATAAACATAAAATTAGAGTTTCATAAACCTCACTAATACAAAATCATAGAAATCATACAAAACATAAAATTGCGAATATAGTAACTATCATTACGGGGTTGTGGAGACTGTTAAATATTTGAGATTATGAGTCGATCGATGTTAGACCACCATTGAAAACCTGGATGCCGGCTCAGTGGTCTAGAGGTTAAGTGTTCACTCGCGAGACCGAAGGTCCTAGGTCGCAATCACACGTGTGGGATTGTGGATGCGCACTGCCAAGGAGTTCCATACTAGGACGAAACAGCCGTCTAGTGCTCCCAGGTTTTCAATGGTGGTCTAACATCGATCGATTCATGATCTCAATGAAAAAATACACAATAACTATCAAATTTATTAAAGTAACTATAAAGTATTTGATTTGTAAGGGTTTTTACTTTTTTCTTTGTTGATATTAAAGAATGGATATACGTATTTTCCAATGAACTAAAAAATTTTAAATATAATTCAGAGATTGAAGAAAAAATTACTGGATTCCAGATTCAGTATTAACATGGGCATTAGGATAAAGGTAGATTCAGTTGATCAGTTCTAAATAAAACGAAATGTACTCCTGGATTCTTTTATCCGTCACAATTCAACTTTATTGATAAAATGATTAAACATAGATAACACTAGAAAAAAGGAACTTTTAAGAACCCACATTAAAATTATTTTAAGTGTATGCTGTTAAGTTTGAAATAGGTGTGCGTGAATGTCATCATATCAAGTAACTCAATAAACGTGAATAAGATTTGACTTATCTAACGTACTTACGAAGTACAGATCCATACTTTCAGTTTTGAGTCACGCTTTATGTATGAAAGCTAATGTTACTATCCGATTATTTAAACAGAAGTAAAAAGTGGAGGTCAAACGAGCGACTTAGTCAAACACTATAACTACTAAGCCACAACTCGTAAGATCTATCTGAGTGAGATAAAATATTTTACTCCTTAACTCAAGACAAATTAAAAAAACACTGAAAATATTTAAATCATTCAAAAAATTCATCAACAAAATATGTAGAGCGATAAATATGAGAATTCCAAATGAGTGTGTATGAATTTTCATGTTACAGATGATCAAGGAGATTGTGTACTAGACAGTTAATGAAATATTTCATATTTAACCTATTTTAATGGATACTAAAATTTGATTAGGCAATAGATAAAAAAACCTACCAGCAATTGTAGTCTGCATAGAAGCAACATCAGATCCTACAGCTGAATGTGTAACATGGCTGGGAACACTGCCGCTAGTTTGTCGAGTTCTGCGAAGTTTAGGAGTTAGACCTTCTTCTTCTACAGAGGCTATAAAGTCAGTTACAACTGATAACGTCACCTCAGATGGATGAAGTGAGGCAGATCCTCCTTTAGCTTCGATGTCTTTTAATTCCTGTTCACGTTTGCGTTGTTCGGCCATTACAGCGTCCCAAGTGACAAGACCACGAAGTTCACGAGAAACACGAGATTTCCCTGAAAACCACGTGTAAACACTGATATGAGAATGTGAAATTTCTTGAAAATACGAAAAACAATTATTGTAACTTAAAATGATTACGCTACTAGTAAGTAGCTTATGTTTTGTCGTGATTTTTTTCTTACATTTCGTATTGCCTTTTTGAAAGCTTACTCACATCTCATTGATGACTGGAGCTACATTTTTGTGTATTTTAGTTCAAATGTTTACAAAGTTGTGACTACATTTAGCATAGATCTGAAATTAAAAAAATAACTATATATATAATTGTAGCTACCTTTCCCGAGAATGTTGATGTTGATTAGATCCCAACAAAATTATTTCGTAATTCTTCCGTAAATAGAAAATTGTTAGAATCAATAGACTAGAACTATAGACAACTACCGTCCATTTCGCATCACGTAATTTAGGCTTTATAATTACATTTCTTACGTATAAACACCGAGAACCTTTTTGTTTCAATCCGACAGTAGATGACAAACAAATACAGCTTTGGAAATTTACCAGCGGTTCTAAACACAATAATGAAGTCACAAGGTCAGGGGAAGTCTACTATGTTCAGCGCCTCCTATATTAGTCATCTGCGTGCTATGATGCTTATTCAGAAACTAAACTCAAATACGAATTTTGGATGGGACAGGGCAATATATGATGAAGTCAAAGACGATACCCTACTGTTATCGATTACCATTTACTTGTAAAAGATTATTGTGACTGAAAACATTGAAAACCATAAGAGCGGAATGATACAGACGATAAGTCCTTAAATGTTTAGCATACTCTATGGAGGTAAAACGTAACATTTAAGGGCAGAGAACATTCTTAGCTCGCTAATACTTGAATACATATGTTACCGAAGTGTCGCTCGTGTATGGTAGAACTATCGAGTGAACCTGATGTGTTTGGATGTGTGTTATTGAGTAAAAATAACAAATTTATTGATGTATCTGTGAGTCTTTCTCGACTGAGTTGACTGACACACGTAATACGTACACCAACCGACGCCTAATTCCAGATCGAATGTTGGTAGCAGTGGGGATAGATTGTAAGAAAGCTAGGAATGGGCGAACCAAGACGTGGTATCAATATTTTGAAACCACTGATTGTCGGACTGAGATATATTAATAACTGCAGAATACCTGGTTAAGGTTCGCTTATTAACCACAGTAAGTACTTAGAGGAGCATGATGAAATGGATAGAAATCGGTGGCCGTAGCATATATATATCTTTGTGTGTATTTGCATTATTATTGATACTCCTATAATCCAGACACTTGTCGTTCATTTTGATAACTCCATTTTGCTGTGCTGTTAAAGCGCGACAACTTGCACTGCTGCACATTTGTGCCAGGTTCTAGGTTGATTATATTTGACTAATTAACTTGTTAAAAACTAAATGATAATCAACAAAAGTAATTACTATAATCCGACATGATTATTACAACTTCAGTTTTTACAAAACAGCAATTTGTATCGGTGACAGTTTCTAATCTAACTGACAGGAATTAGAAACTAAAGTACACTTATAAATACAATAATAAAAACTAATTATTTTGCAAGAAAGTACTGATTGAAAACTACACAAGCTTACCTTTAGAAGAAGTTGATTTAGGCATTCGAATCACATATTGACTAGTTTCTACGTGTTGATTGTTAATCGGATTTGATGATGATGAAACAAGATTAGTATTTGTCAAAGGGATTGATTCAGATGCACCGATTGTATTCGACTGTACAGATGAAAAGTTACGGCGAAATCCATGGTGTTTTTTACCTCTACCTCGACGTTTAGTTAAACTAGAAACCAATGTACGTGTGACAGTAGTACTTTCAACAAGTTTAAAATTCAACTTCGAAGCAGAATCTTCAGTAGGATTTGAAATAAACTTTGAATCATTTTGATTTACATCTTCAACTGTCTTAATAAGAGGCAGCTGATCAGTATTTTTTATCTCAGAGGGTATTATTGTATGATGACCAAGATTTTGTATATTAGAATTTAGTGGAAATGATAATTGTTTCGATTGATTATCGAAAGCGCTAGCAGAATAATCTTGTTTGTCTGATGTTAAATCTATAAGTTGAATAGGTTTTTTAGATAAGTGATCTGTTTCTATAGGATTTTTTAATGTAGCCGCCAACAGACGGCGCATATTCACCTAACAAAGAAAAATTAACAATTGATTAACATTAATACATAAATAGAATATGATAAATTATTACTTATTACTTGATGACACATAAATACTGACTTTAAGATTAAACTAGATTGGTAGCAACAGTCTAAAGTAAATCCATTTGCTGAAGAAAAATATAGTAATAATGGGGACCTCTGGTATTCAGCAATCTTGATAATTATCAGGAGAAATATATGAGAAAAATAATTGTAAATAACGATAAAAAAAGAAAGTAACTTATATCAACATTTTTCCGTATTGTAGTAAAATTATATATATATATATATCCCTTAGAAAAACTAACCATTTATCAGTCAATCATGATGTGCTTAACATTTGATCGATTTCTGATTGACCCAACGTACCGAAATGTTTCTAGCACTCACAGAAAACTATACATCACACACAAGATATTAGAACAAACACAAACGTCTAGTAGATGAAGATAATTTGTGAAATGGTTAAACAAACTAACAACTTACAACAAACCGATGCACCCGCGATTCAGGAAGTTGTTGAAGCCAAGGTGCACATAACTTCGACTTCACCCCCAAATTATCACCCTCAGGATCTGATGTCACGGGACTTCTTAACGGGTTTGGTAGGATAAGAGGTACCCAGGATGCCGGAAGAACCGCCTGTTCTATGGAAGTGGTAGAAGTAGGAGAAGAAAGACCACCACGACGAGCACCCCGACCTCTCCGGCCGCCTCTGCGTGCACCGACACCTCTACGGGATGGTGTTTCAGATTGACGTGAGGCTAAAGTAGGAGATACAGCGACTGGGATTGGTCGACGAGGTACCGGTTTCGTGTCAATCACACAAGTATCTGTATCAAAAGATGTTTTCAAGAATAAGAAGTAGAAAAATCGTAAATTCATAACAGACAGCGGTTAACACAGAATCGTCGAAACAATCAATTACAAAAAAAACAGTGTATTGGTGAAACCTTAATTAGACAAGTATTAGCCGGATAAATTGAAAACTACAGAATAGTAGCGGTGTTTATCGTAATCGCCGACTCTGCTGGTCGACAATTTGCAAACGTTTAAAACTAGTATCAATCTAATTGTGTTTGTGATTTTGGGAACTGTGGTCAAGATCCTGGTGAGACAACAGATGAATATTTAACACAAGAATCTTTATTTCGTGACAACTTAATAACTACCCTGTTTTCCCCATGCATCCGATCGGTGACCTAAGAACAGACGCCAATAATGAACAACATACAAAATGTGTTCGTGTACATAAAAATTATATATGTAAAAGACTGTTTTAGAGTTAAAACGCTTCCATGAAATTAGAAAAAAGAACAAACCTACTTTACATAATTAAATTACTAAAAGGCAGGGAGCTATAAAATCAAACATTATAAACACAATTATTAGTTAAATGTGAAACTTACCCTTCAAGTGAATAGCCAATTCATCGATAGCAGCGATCACTGTCTCGTCTACAGTTGATGGTTTCTTTTTAGTCTGCTTTAATAACGCTTTTAGCTCACGTTTGTTGACTTTTCTTTGAGTATGCGATGCACTGTTGTAATCCACTGTGACTAAAACACATACACACACAAATACAAATTTAAGAACCTAGGCATTTAGAGTAACCAACCATAAAGAGTAAAAATAATGAAGCACGAAACATCCGCATCATAAAAAAACAAACTATAAAAATAATGTAACTCAATTTCTTTGCTTCGGCTTAGTTGGAGAAACTAGATTCGAACTAGATAATTAGATGTTCTTACCTCATTCTAAAATTGTGTTGATTCAATGAGGCAAGTAGTGTGAAAGTATAACTTCAGAGACCGTTTACACTGTTTATTACATAATTAGTAAACTCTTAGATTGTTGTATTTCTAATGTGTCTATCTTTAAACTTCCCATTTAACGCATAAATTGTTATATCCTATTGTTCCAGATTTATCATTAATTATTTCCCTATTACTGCGGATTTGTATTATTTATGACTGAGTTATGTACACATAATTTTATAATTGTGTTGCTATATAGTCAGACGTTGAAAGTATATTAGTATATGAGTTTTGAGTTGTGATCGAACAGTGTTTTGGAGAAATAATCTGCATTCTATCTTCGTCTTCTGACTGGACATTGAGGTTTGAAGGAGCTTGAGGACCAATAAGCGTTACTGTCTCGGTTGTGAATTATTGGTTACTGTGTTATTTGGAAAATCGGTCACTGGTCCTACTGGCAATACAGGCGAACTAATCAATAGTAAGACTAGAAAATATAACTGCTACTATAATAACGACCCGACAACATGGGCCCCAATACGAGCCAAGTATTTAGTTCTCTTTTCGCCGTTGGATCGTGTATGTAATAGGATTTATCACTTTTCGCGTAAAACATGTTTATAATTTCATACTAAATAATATACCTTAAGAGAACATAACTCAAAGATTCTTTAAACTATTATTATAAATTACGGTTTTTAACACATATAGGAAGAAACGTAGACTTGACATTCAAAAGAAAAATAAACCGCTGTTTTGTACGCAATGAAGAACTTACCTTTGTCTGGTTGACGGGGTTCAACAAAGACTGAATTATGTGATCCGCTGAGATCTTTGGTTGATAAAGGTTCACGAGTAGCTAATGATCAAGATAAAAAAAATGTGACGAAACATAATGCTAACAACCATTCGCTATTCATTAACATGAGAAATAACTTGAAATTTAAAATGAGATGGATTTTTTTAGTTTTAAAAATTGGATCTTTTGATAAGACGGTAACCAATATATAAGAACACATAAAGAATTTCGATAACAAATAATAGTCGATTTGTTGATTACATGGAACACAGTCAAAACACTCTCAAGTAGAGCAATTACCAATCAGTAAGTAAATCAGTAGTATAGGTCAGTGAAGACTATTTAATTTGTCTTTACATCATCCTAACTAGACTACCACCATGGAAGACCAGAAACCTATGAAGAACTGTTTCTTCTTAGTATAAAACTCTTTAGCAGTGTGTGTATCCAACGGTTGCTAAGAGAAATTCATTTCATAATTTAAACCATGAGTTGAGTAATCTCCAGGTGAAAATTCCGAACTACTAACAGTGATCATGTGCTCATCAGTAACAAAACGAAACTTCGAGTACTAATGAGAATTAGTCACTGACCAATGAAGTTTAAGCATATTGCACATGAGACAGTTATTACCGATGAAAACAGATGATTTTTCTTATTTATGTACTCGGGGGCCTTGAGACACAGTTCAGTTGTGTGATACCGTTGAATATGGGGAGATAATTGAAAACTTGGAACTTTGAGGGCCATTCTTTAGTAGATTATTTTATAAGCTTACATGGTATATTTAATAAATAGTTCATTGTAATTTTTATACTGTTGTAGTTGTAAATGATCATTTGAGTCTTTGGCTGTTTATACCTTTTATCGTTCATGAATTACACCTAATTAATTGTTTAACTGTTAGTTATTTTAGTATCACAACTGTCCCAGTTTAGCGAAGACTGCAATTTCTCATCAATAATGCTTTGTGATCTTTAAATTGATGTATTTAACCATGTGTTTTCGAGTCTCATTAAGAGACAAACCGGGAGGTCGATGATAAAAGAATAAGCATGGACAAATAGGTGTTAGTGGTTATTGGTAATAATGATCGAGTGAAGGTCATAACAAGTACTAATTCGCTGCTCGAAATGATGTAAATGAAACGAGGTCCAAACCTGAGACTTGCCAGTTGAAAGCCGACTGTTTTAGTTACTAAGCCAACCCATAGGATTACAGTAGCAAAATATCATAGATCGACTGAAGTTATAAATACAAACCATTACATGCCAACCCAGTAAGCGCTTATCATAAAACCTGAATGTCCTGAGGCTCTGTCTTTGATGAATCATATAACACGGATGAAATAAACAACCACCGCTTCTTGGTTTTCAAAAATTGTTTAGTAGAGCCCGTTTGTGATGTTAGTTACAAAGTATGAAAATTATTCATTACAATAGGTGATAAGACTCATTATCAAGCTACAGTCACATTAGTTGCTAAATTTTAGATTACGCACACTAACATGAGAAGAGGAGTGAATAGTTTGTATAATAACGGATAGCGGAAGTAAATAGTAAAACCAATAAGGACTGAAGAGACAACATAAAGAAAGAATATTAGAAAAGAATAAAACAATATGAAAATTGATAAACTACTTACATTCATCATCATAAGGAAGTTCATGTTCACTACTAAGTCCCATTGGAAGAGAGCCTTCACGATCCCTTGACTCATTACTATAGTCATCTGCAAAATTCTTGAATACGTTTTGATCAAGATCTCCGTTATGACCCTTTTTGTCTAGTACACGACGACCACGACTTTCCATTTGTGATAAGTTATCATCTCCAACAGAACTATTACGAAGACTACGGCTATGAACTGATTCACTGGAAGTATCATCTGGTGTTTTTGAAAGACCATGAGATGACTTAGATCCTGTATCTGGTGACCCACATTCAGGATGTAATTGAGAATCACCATAGTAAGACTTCAAACTGCCTTTTAAACCATAACGTCCAGAAGGTTTTGAAGTCTTTTGCTTTCCTTTACGCTTCATATCCTCGGGCAAAGTGGACACATTCAAGACGTCTGACTTGACTGCTCAGAATAAATTACGATCTTGACCGAGTCACTTTTGAGCTAAAAGACAGGTGAAAATAATAATAGTGGTATTAGTGGCATAAATATTTCGGATTAACAGAAAATTAGGTTAGGAAACTGTCATAGACACGACGCCCAACTTTTTCTTACCAACCTATATACAATTCAAGCTATGTAGGACTTTGACATCGTGAGACATTCATAAAAACGAAATGCAAAAAAAACTTAAGACTTTGACGAGATAGCTTTAGTTACTTTTAAAAATAAATATTTAGCATGCTTAACCAGTTTAAATCGACGTGCACGTAGCCACAAAGTTTCACAGAAAGCAAAAACTGACGCCTGATTGCTAAGAAAAAACTTTTGAAAAGTATGATTAATTTTATCGGGTTATACAATATTGCTTGATTTCTTCATATTATCTTGGAATACTAAGCCTGAGAATTGTATAGTTTTAACGAGGATGAAAGGTGAGTTGGTCAAACTGTATCGATCAGTAGCTGATCTAGTATTGAGTGTTCATCAGGGATGTACTGATTAACTATCACGAGGAATACTCGTAGTTAGGATCCGTTTATGAGTAACAGCATCAAACAACTTTGAAAAATCTTGGGATCAAGATAGAAGCCCTGAAACCACCGTTTTAAGACAACAATACATAGTTCAAATAAACTGTCTCAGCATTTCGGAGAAAATTATAAAGTTAGATGTTTCTGTTTCTCCTTGTATCAATCCTAGTCGAGTGGATGGGTAGGAATTCTGGTGGATGATTCTAAGAGAAGCTGGAATGATGACAAATAACTACATTTGACTAAAAACCACTTAAGAACGCTTTGTCTGATGTAGTTTCACACGTATAATGTCTCGTGAATTGGAAGCAGTGCATAGAATTGGATCCTCTGATACCACCAAAACAGGTCTCTATTCATCCTACTTACTGTACTTACACCGCGATAAAAAATATATGCTAGACCATCAACATTATCTGTTGGTATCAGATAATTAGCTAACAATGGGGGTGTGTGCGATGGGCGAGGACCAGGTATAGAAACATATGCAAACCAAAGAAAACCACTTTCGAAGTACAACAAAATTGGTGAACTATAGATGAAAACAACCAATAAGATAACAGGTAGTTGATTGGGAGAGGGTCATCCTTGTAAAAATTTATATTTCTTGACAAAGAAACTAGATAACTTGTTATCTTCCTAACAGTATCATTTAACAATTAAACAGTGATCACTGATGATAGTCATTTGAATCCTTACTGTACACATTTGACAATCACTAGTTTTCTTCAAAATAATGATCAGTAACCTTTTTTTCATATTGGCTAGTTTTATGGTTGAAATTTTCGGTCTAACCATTATGAATCTGTGGATTAATAATTTAGACAATTGACTCAATCGTTAACAGACTACAGCCTCATACTTAAAACACAATTATATGAACGAAGAATTTTCCAGTGATTTATTAGAGCCGTTATATAGTGTGTTGTACGTTCAATCTTTACAGCAGTTGTTCCATACTATGCTATTAGATTGTAGTTAATTTTTAATATCAGTCAGTCAGCTATAACGTGGGACCAGACACATATATGCATCGATCCAAGTTGCCATACTTCATTAGCACAAGATAAACACCAAATCTATAAAAGTACTTTAATGGTGGTAATATATATAAAAAAGACTTCATATAAGGACATAATACAGGAAGAAATAATTAGTTCGTAGAAATGAAGGTATAAAGCAACTTTAATCTCACGGTTCAAGGGAAGAAAAATTGTGTATACACTTACGCCATTATGATAGATCCTGGGCCACGTTATCAAGGGTCTCCAACCATTGGTTACAATAGTCACACAGACATTAACCAAGTAGTCTTCATCTACCAACATGGCTCAAACCAGAAGTTAGTGACTTCAAGGACTGATGCTACATTATCGTTTGGACACCCCTAACTTTTTCCAACCATCCCTAACACTAATCAGCATTGCGCATCGTGGTAATCGGTGTTCAGGCATACGTAGCATGTGGCCCAACCACCTTAGTCGATGAAGATTCACAACCTCATCAGCTGATTTACCATCATTCCCTAATACCCTGTGCATCTGACCTCACTATTACTTACCCGGTGATCACAGCAGACGCTGGCAATGTTTCTAAGACATGTCACCAAATACTAGTAGCTTACGAGTATCGTCTACTCTTAAAGGCTACGTTTCGCAGTCTTAAAGTAGAACAGAACGAACGGCCGAGTAGTATACTCATCCTTTAATTGATAGACGGATATCTCGCCTTCGCCATACGCGACGTAAGTTGGCAAAAGCCAAACGAGCTTTTCGAATCCGTGTTGAGATTTCGTCAGACACCAACCCATTAGGACTGACCAGACTTTCATGATAAGTAAAGTTGTCGACGCGTTCGACTACTTTACCCCCTATCCTCAGTTCAGGTGTAGACCAGTCTTGAAGCAACAACTTGCATTTAAAGGAAGAGAAGCGCATCCCAAACATTCTGGCATTGTTGCTCAGTGCTATGAAAAGACCCTGCATTTTATTAGCGTCTTCACCAAACAGGACTATGTCATCTGCGTTATCTACGTCTATAAGTGGACCTCCTGGAAGATCAATCCCTAAAAATTCAGTCGACGAAAACGTTATTTCTAGCAGTAGGTCGATGATGAAGTTAAACAAAAATGGAGATAGTTGACAGCTTTGCAGGACACCATGTGAGGTTGCAAAATCAGATGATAGCTCACCACAAGCTCTAACTAGATTGGTAGTGTTCGAATAAAGAGCCTTCATAAAGTATCCGTACTTCTGGTGTACACCATTCAATGACAGACACTGCTACAGGACATCTCGGTATACAGAGTCAAATGCTGTTTTTTAGTCAAAACTCAAATTTATGTACGCAACTTTGAGCCATGTATTTCGGTAACAGCCAGCGACGCTACCCAGCTGCCAGAACTAAACTACTTGAAATTATTATGATCGATATCCAAGTGCCAAGTACCTAGTTATCGATTTCTACGGACAGTATGTACGATTACATTCTTTTATATGATTTTATGGACAGTAAACTCATGGTACAGTCTAGACATACAAATAGTTCCTATGCAGCTATGACCGCGCCACCATTAATTCAAACATTCAGAGGCAATTCACTGTTTTCTATACATAAAATTTAAGATACAACGCTCATTGGTTGAAGCCCTTAATGAAATACTCGCTCAATGAATAGAAATCAAGAGCCTGATGAACGAGTAACCAATTAAACTACGCAACTGCCTGACATTTAAAAAAATATACTTCAAAACTAAAACCGCTTGAAATCTCAGTATTACCGAGAATAGAATCAGCCGAATATGTTTATCAGTAAAGGTTGCCATAGCAAGATAAATACTGGAATAGCAGTTAAGTAACCTGTAAAAGAGTTATTGCATAGGGATGCTTGAAGAGGAATGAATGAAATCGTTGGAAGGGTTGTGTGGTAACTATGAAACCACGGCTCTAATTGGGGAATGGATTTGTATCATTAGCGCCGATTCTGAATCATGTCAACAAACCTCTTACACAAGAAAAGACGTTATGCTGAACTCACAACTGAAACACCATGACACTACATTTTGGATATCAAAAGCGGATAGATGAACAGAGAATGTGTACCCTGAATCAAATACTTACAATTAGAGGTAGATCGGATAATTGACAGCACTTAGTTCTCCACGCCCTTTATCTCATTTAGAATAGCTGGCTATTGCTAAGTTTAAGAGACCCCAGTCAATTTGCCTTTTAAGACCCCGGACTTCAACTATTTAGAAAACAATATCAGTGGTTACTGCATTGAACTTCTGATAAATACTGACTTCATAACACAAACTGATCCAGTGTTGTATTGGGAATTATGGAAGATTCAAAGCCACATACTCACCCTAAAAACGCCCTTCAATCACTTAAAGATGAGCTTTATAACAAACACAATGTGTAGAAATGAATTAGACACTCATCAGGTATGAACAGTCACTCTGAAAACACCAACGAATATTAGCATCTCAAACATTAGAATCCAGCTACACAGTGCACTTGTTAGTAAGACCCACTACCACATACGTTTTACTTATTTGAGAGGAATAATATACAGAAAAATGAGTGATTATGCTGCTTTAAGCCGCTGACGTATTATATGGCTGAACTTAGTTAGAATGTCATTCAAATTCGGTGAGTTGAAACAAAACAAACAAGACTTACTTGCTAGTATTACAAGGATGATGTAGATGACAAAACTAGTGGAATTTCCTGACCAATAAGTAGGAAAACCGATCCGAAAACATACGACAAAATCGAAAGCGTGACCGTATCGAGCGCCAAAAAGTCAGATCACATAGTTCAAACAGCCTCCAGAACAATTACAGCTCTCAAAGTAGGTGATACTATGGTTATCTGAAATCCATATCCAGATATTTCTCTGTACTGCCATATTTTTCTCAAAAAACAGATTTTGAAAATTTAATGCCGCTTTCTGGTAAATGTAGTTTCGAGTTTAGTAAATCGGAAACAATATTGTTGGTTTAGTATCAATTCAGTTTCAGCTCGAAAAGGACAGGAGTCTGGGTGGCCTGTGTTAGTCATAGCAATTATGACCTCGCAATGGACCCTCTGTGGACAGTTAACAGACAGTTTTGCAGTCAGTTCTTGTGATTATTTGCATTTTCTACTGGGGGTGCTTTTAATGACTGGTTCTATATCAAGCCCAAATTGGCTATTCTAGCTTCTAGAAAAACAAATTTATCTATTTTTTCAAGCCACATTTTGACCTTATTGATTATTCGCTTATTAACCCTGAATGTTTATATGTGTGTTAATTGCTCACCCTATTCATCACGTGTCTGTAGTTTTTTTTTCTGACTACAAATATCGAGTCATGCTTGATCAAATCGAGCTATCCCACTCAACTCCGCCGAGCGTCACTTTGTCTCACGTCACTTCGCAATCACAGCAGTAATTTGGAGTTATAATTTTTGTACTAAGAACTTATGTTCTTTAATGCAACTAATGTTCACTCATCACATTCGTACTCAGCAATCATCGTCTCCCATTTTTTCAATTTCAGTCCAAACCGAACCTCAGCAATCGCTTTGCCTAATCGATTATCCTTACTTCAATGTATATGCACACATCAAAGATTCGATGTCGCATTGCTAATTGGTTAGTATCGATTAGCTTCATCTTATCTATTCGTTCACATATGTAACTGCACGCTGCATCACTCATTATGCATAAACATTTTTTGATTACCGCAATTAATACTGTTTTCCCGTCGCACTGTATGTCAGAACATAGAGCTTGGAGCTAGTCGCCAAATGATAAATTCTTATTCGTTACATTCAAGTCAGACCCACTCACCGTCATCGATAATCGTATGTATTGGTACTATTATCATCGTTTCGTAAGATGCAAGGCCGAGCACATATCCCTTAAACGACATAAACCACACCAGGCTTCACGTTCAAAACAGATTACGACTCCTCGTTTTTCGTCTCTGCCGTCACTATTCTGCTTTTCTGGCCATTTCACTAATAAATATTTAACGATAACTTGGTGCGTCTGATTATAACTTGGACGACAAACTACACTGACTTCGCATATTATGATTATTATCAATCACACTACAACAGTGAAAATCATCCATCGACGTACCTATAATTTTACAGCTTGATTGGTCTTATCCATGTGCTTTGTTTACAAAAGCACTACACTTTCGCATTGAACACACCCCTCGCGTGACTCTGTAGCCTATCTGACATAGCATACGCGTATGTATGCGTAAACATGAGAAAGCACGCATAACAGGATATCGTACGAAGCTCCCACGAAAGACAAAACTGTAAAGTCAACGATGGAAGGAAACCTATAGATGCATTCCAGTTGGCTAACAAAGCTGTTAGATATCGTCTTTTCACTCTGCCACTTAATGATTTGAGAACGAAAACCTCTTTATTCCAGTAGAAGAACAGGATATAGTGAAATACATAGTTTTAGATCCATGATGTAGACTTTATAGATGATCAAGCTGTCTTATTCCATGAACAGAAACAAATGCAGACGAGTTCAATTGGTTCAACACTGACCTCTGCTGCAGTAAGTCTTAATATTGAAAATGAACCGGTAAAATCCTAAATCATGACGCAGAGATCTTCACACAAACCACAATGTACGGAGATCTGAAAGCAACACGAACTTCTGTATACATGAACAACATTCATAAAAAGGAGGACCAGATGCATATTCCAGGGAGCGAACTGATCAGGCAAAAGCAATATCACAACGACTGAAAAGCCTATTTAACTTAACGAACATGTCAACCAAAACCGAAGTCATGGTTTCAAACACTAACATTGTTACGGATGTATTTTATAGATCTGGAACTCGGAGAAATACTGCCGCAGTAATCAAAATGTTCCAATATTTGTAAACAACTTTTCACTAAAGTCACTATTTATCCATTAGTCAAAGACCATCAGCAATAGTCTGGTCCAACAGACAATAAACTAGTTTGCAGTTGAGTACGGAACCAGGAAAGAACTCTGTTAATAGATAAGGTACATTCTGAGAAAACCATTAAACCGCGTGACACGACGAAGCCGTTTCTGAAATCCTTAAGGTTAAAGAAAAAGAGGCAAACTAAGGAGCAAGTGGCTCCAGTAATTCGATGCAAATATCAAGACTATGAATAATATTTGGCAAGAACTGGAAAGGAGGAACTACAGAACACTTTACTACGATAGTTATTAATGAACTTACTTATGTTGCTGGAATAATTATCCCCAAATGGTATCCTTGACTGGATGTAACGTGACAGTCTGATCTCTATTATTTTACGTTGAAGATAGTAATACTTATGATTTTCAATAAAAGAACAGCCATTCCTCAGATTCTTCAGAATTTCACATCTCGTATTTGGTATTAAGATAGCTCGTGAGGTAGCAGTTACATGGCATATTCTACTTTCCATAACAGCACCACAAACAGTTTGAGGTCTTCTGATTTTCGACTCCTATCATGTAAGTTAGCTGAACCAAAAACGCAAACAAAAGTCTTTCTTAGGGGAAACAAGTTTAACAAAAATATGCTGGTGCTATCAGAAAGAACCATTCAATACAACTAACTACCATAAAAAAATGAAACATGAATTTTCGGCTTTTTACTCCTCTCCTTCACGCCAGATATTCAGGCCTATATCCAGTACAAGCTGTTTGAGCAGAGATGTACACATCGATCAAAACTACCAAAACACAGTAATTTGAAAGCGGTGGTGGAACCGTATTAATCTACAGACAAGCATGAATTTTCCGTAACATAATATTAATCTACTCTCAAATAGCAGTCTTTTACATGAGTTATGCCAGTTTACAGGCAACATCAAGTTGTTACAGAAGATACGGTCTTCACTGTGATGGACCATTCAGTTTGTGTGATATTTTAAAAGATACAATGATCATAAAAGTATGGGGGATAATACTACTCACATATGAATGCAAACCATGTTATTAAGATCCGTATTGTCAAAATGGGAGTTGGTGCACTTTATGGAGGTTGCGGTGAGACGTGCAACGCATAGTCAGGGGTAAATCCACGTAAATTTGGGAGCTTCTGTAAACCATGACCTTATATCACACTGGAACATAAGATACTTTAATGATGGTTCAGGATAAAGTCAACCGTTCCATTTGCGTTTTCGGTGACATCTTGGGAGGGCTGAAAAAGAGACTAATAAGAAGGAATGACGAGAAGCAAAATATACACTGTTCGTGCATATTGAAATTGAGTCATTTGTAGTGAAATAGTGAATGTATTATTAATTAGTCTAGTTTTCTATTATTAAGGTACTTTTTAAGTAGACGTAATCTGGTAGGTAAAAGAAAACAAGTTTAAATATGGTATGAATGGTCAAAGAATTGTATAAATGGACGTGGTTCAAAAAGAAGCTAAAAGTATAGGGTTATGTGAAGTTCTAAAATATGGTGCTGAAAATAGTATCCTGATACACAATTGGCTATCTCCCTTTTTTGTCGAAGCTATTTCAGCTCTTTTTATTGTTAATGGTTTTATAGGGTATTGAACAGGCTTCGTCTTTAGCAAATTGTCTAGTTTTGCTTGTAATAGGATTACACCGTGGAAAGTGAAACTAACTCAACGTCACAAACACGATTCAAGGAGGTAGTCTGCATAACAAATTAGCATCAATACCATTGGTTCGTGACATTTCACTTGACTATAAGGAGCAGTAATTTAACAAAATATTCTGCTCTACAGACATTGGTGGATCGAAGTTATCTCCCCACCATCCTGTTTGCTGGTCAGTAATGCCATCCTCCCTTCTTTTGTGATGTTAGGTTTGTGGTGAGCATGAATATTGCTTTGATTTAAGCTCACTGTTGGAATACACTGTCTCTACTAGTTCCATGTTACAAGCAAATCAGATGGTTAAAGCTCCTGTACTATGGGTTGTATATCCATTATAGTATATCATACTGCTATGAAGATAACTAATGGTGAAATAAAAAAACAGGTCAGATTATATGTGATTAAGAAATGGTGAGGATAGACAACAAATCAAAGAAAATGCCATGGGTTAGAATTGTAGAATTTTCGGAGTAAGAAGACAAAACATTGAGTGACCTACAAGACTTTAGGACATTTTGAGCTTCTTATGATCGGCCATAGTTGATCAGCATCTATGAGGATAGTGAGTTATCTGTCTATTGGTAATATAAAAAAGGACATGACAATTAGGAAGAATAATACAATTTTAACCACTGGAGTGATTCGGAATCTGAAAGTGAAGAGAAGGAGCATAAGGGCATAACCAAAAATCAGTGAAAAATTGGAGAGGTTAAATTTTGTGTTCTATCATTTGGTTATATTCATATTAATGAAAATGAGGGTCTGTTATATTCGTGATCTGTCTAGATAATAGGCGTTCCATAATTAATTGCATGATTGGTGGGCGGGAGGTCAGGGAATAGCTGGTGATGCTCTTCAATGTCAAGTAATGGTGTTACTAGTGTTTTGATCTTTACGATAGTGTCACAGTTAGGGTTAGATATTGGCAACCTATTCCATAACAAACTATGCCGTACTGTGAGGAACTCATAAGTCATTGGTCTTAGGTGTTTTACTGTAAGCAGTATATATGCGTTGTTTCTGAGTCTGTTCACTGGGTTATGGATCTCTGTTGGGCAGGAGATTAGAAATGTGAGTCCATATATTGCTTATATATACGAAATATATGGACTTTTTTCTGACCTAGGTTGCATGAAATTTGGTGTCTGCAAATCTGTGTTAAATTAAAATGTAAAATATCAACTACAGTA